AAAACCGCCGCAAACCAGAGCTTTGCAAAAGTTCTCATTTGAAGCCTTTGCGACGAAGCATTTGTGATAATTCTGACAGGAAAAATCTGCGAACCTGCCCTATCTATGAAGAAGGGGTGACTGGTGTGTATGATTTCCATGAAGATGTTTATTTTAGAAAATAAATGACTTCTAGAATTTCAGAAGTACGGGAGGTTACAGAAATCCTCCGCAGGGCTTGGCACGCGACGCACGGGGTGTGGTGGTTCTGGTCCCACTTCCCCTCTTCCTCCTGCTGAGCACTGACCTAGCATCCCCAGACCTCCTAGGTACTAACGGGTAAGACGGCCCCAGCTTAGACTCCATACCTTATCTGATAAAATCAGGAGCTGCCAGGTAACATTTGGGCTAGGCTGACTTGAGAAAATTTATACAACTAAAACGACTTTCTTTCCAACAATTCAGACTGCTGTTTCTCTCGTAATTTTAAAGGGGAAGCTGGAAACGGGGACAAAATCATTTCACTACTGACAATGAAGATGTCCCAGATGTTCCTAGGCTCTATGAACAACCAGTCTCAGGTGCTACAAACTGCATCGTCTGGGCAAAGATTAGTATGTCAGCATATAGTTCACATAAAATAGGGTGGTTTAAAAACAGCAGACTCACTCTTTCATACTATCACAGTGTCACCAAGATCTTTAAACATTTTTAAAGTTTAATTTTTTACAGACAGCATCTCACTGTCACCCGGCTTGGCCTCCCAGGGCACTGGGATTACAGGCATGAGCCACTGGGCCCGGCCTAAGACTAGTAACTGAAGGCCTGTCACTTCTCTATTATTGAGCCATTTTCCACAGACTGGCAGCAACATGAGAGAGAATCATGGCCCTACTGAGCGTGCTTGCTCACTGTTCCTGACACGTTCTACTCGTGTGACGACCTAGACAGACAGACAGACAGACAGACAGACACCCTGTCAAACACCACAAGTCTGCCTCTCCCAGCAGACAGTGCTGGGTCTCAGCATCTCCTGGAAAGATGGAGACTTTGGAAGGATATGTTATCTTTGCTTCTCAGGAACTGCTGAATCTACATAGCTTCAAAATAAGAACTGCATTTCACGGAAGGAAAAATGCTTTTTTCGTGACGGATGTTGCTAAGGGGCCATTCAATATTTTACCGATAGCACCAACTATCTGTGTACATGTATATGTTGGTGTCTGGGGTGGGGGCTGTTTTGACAGGTTTGCGTGTAGGTGTCAGAAGAGTTTTTGTGACTATGACTGTATTTCTGTGTGTAGGGGAAGATACTTAGTGTTCCCTTTCAGAACTGAGCACTGGAAAAGTTGACAGAAACTGGGTGACTAAGATCGCATTTGGGCCATGAACTACTTATCTTCTTTTTCTGAAAATTTGTCGAATGAAGGACTAAAGGCAACGTAAGAGGCGAAGGGGTCCCTCTGCCATCGCATGGACCAGCCGAACAGCCTCCTAGCTAACCTGTTCCCAATCCCCATTCTAATATCCACTTGAACTCCCGCTTGGCGTATGACAGGTGAGACAGGCTTCTGTTAGTCTGATGGATTTGGTTTGCAGATACCACAGGTTTGCACATAATATATAATTATTCTAGGCAGTCAACACTGTAAAATGGAATGCAGAATAGTTTAGGGAATTTAGTGCCATTATTTTATTCACCCACACAAAACATAAGAAAGCCATTCTCTTTCTTGACAGATGGATTTCAGAGGAGACGTTTCAGCTCAGAACAATAATTGTGGCCACAGCATAACTCTCACACTTTGTGGGGTTTAATGGACTTTTCTTTCCAGTCCTCAAAAAGCAGCAACTGGCATTTGCTCAAGCCCTGACTGAGGTGTGGAGAATCTGTCAAGTCTTCTCTGCCGCTTACCCTGACCACAATGATACGGTCCATGTGCAGATTAGCTGCAAAGTCATTCCTCCTCCAGGAGTGACAAGATTTCCCCAAATAAAAAAAGGTACCTACTGTATTCTTGCGTGCCCGTCTGCCTTAGAAAGGCAGGGGTGGGGGGAGGATCTAAGGAGTGTGAAGAGAAATGCCTTCAAAAGAAGGGCATAACAACGGAAAAAGTAGCTGTAACAGAGTGGGGACATGGCAAGAACAGAGAGCAGCATTGTCACGGGCAGAGTAATCCTGTGACACACTGCTGTCACTCACTGCCCGGCTCCCTGCCGCGCCAGCCAGACATCAAAGGCTGCCCCATACCATCTTACATGCTCTTTATCAGCTAATCAGCCCATTCTTCCCTAAATAAAGCCCTGTTAAATCCCCTGCTCACAGGGGTATCGTGGTCTTGGTGCCCATCTGCTAGTGAGGGTCAGCTGGGGCAGGAGGCGGCGGGCTGCTCTCTCCCTAGCGGCTTCTCAAGGTAAGGACAATGCTGCCTCCAACTCCCCCGCCCACAGGCCTCCCTTTCTGCTTTCCAGGATCTGGGTAGGAGCTGAGCATGCCAGTCTGAGGAGCTGCTATCTGGATTAACACTTGCTAATGAAATCTAAAGTCATAAAGGCAGATCATCTGCTAACTATGAAATCTTGGGATTGCATTTATTTTCAGGGAGAAGAATAAACAAAGACGTGTGTTTCTTCTTTTTTTTTTTTTTCCGAGATGGAGTCTCACTCTGGAATACAGTGGTGTGATCTTGGCTCATTGCAACCTCTGCCGCCCAGGTTCAGGCAATTCTCCTGCCTCAGTCTCCTGAATAGTTGGGATTATAGGGGCCTGCCACCGTGCCCAGGTAATTTTTGTAGCTTTAGTACAGACAGGGTTTCACCATCTCGGCCAGGCTGGTCTTGAACTCCTGACCACGTGATCCACCCACCTTGGCCTCCCAAAGTGTTGGGATTACAGGCGTGAGCCACCATGCCCAGCCAGATGTGTTTCTTAACAGTAATCATTTGGCAGGTCTCTTCCTCCACTCTCAAAGTGTCACCATTTCCGAGATGGTGACAAGATGGTCAGGCTTCTGATGATGAGGCTACTCTCAGTCACTAGCCGGGAAGCCTCATGGTTTCATCCCACACTCAAATCAAAGTTAACATACGTGGATGCCAGGGACAGCAGAACCTAAGACAGGAACCCAGTTCCTGGGCCCTGCGGCCTGGAATCCTGGCACAGCCACGAGCGCCTGGGAGTAGAGCTGGGGCATCTTCGCCTTCTGGGGGGACAGCCTGGCTATGGCAGAGGGCAAGCAGAGACATCTCTGGGCTGCTGCCCTGATCTGCACCCCTGAACCTCAAAATGGCCTAGAAGGAACCAGGGAAGGACACGTCCACCCTCGCCTAGGCACTGAAGTACACCAGCACACGGAAACAGCTTCCGTTTGTTTTTCCTCAAAGAATTACTGGAGCATTGTCCTATGTGAGAATTATTAGTATCAGAAAAGCATCTTAAAAATTCCAAAATTGGGAACAGAATTAGGCAATACTTTGTCATTGCAATGAGTCCTGCAGGTGCCAAGGCTCCCAGAGAGGTCAAGTTGGGTATCTCTGAATCTGCTTTTTAGCTTGTAAGGAGCTTCATCTGTAGGGCCCTGTATGGTTCCAAAGGCATATTCCCATGCCACCTAATTTTTTTTTTTTTTTTTTTTTCGTGGAGACGGTGTCTTGCTATGTTGCCCAGGTTAGTCTTGAACTCCTGGCCTCAAGCAATCTGCCTGCCTGGGTCTCCCACAGTGCTGGGATCATAGGAATCACCCGATTTTGATTCTCAAAACAATCCTGTGAAGTAACTAAAAATATGGATTTCCTTCTCCATAGTGTAGTTGAGATGGAGGCTCTGAGACATTAAGGAAAGGTATGGCCCAAAACTCGCATCAGAATGGAGCTGAACTTTGATCCAGGTTTCCTGACTCCAAGACCAGTGGTCACTTCCCTCCACGGGGTTGTCCCTCTGTCTTTGCCGTGACAGGTTAGAGAAACAGGGCTGTGACAAGATTGATGGAGTAACTGACACTTCCTGGTGAACGGGGAAGTTGGAGATTGTGTGGAATAGGCAGCGCACAGTAATCCTGCCTGCAGATTCCCAGAGTCGCAGTGGCGGGGGGGGGAGCCTGCGGTGTTTGTAAATTAACGTGGAAAAGGGAGGATAAACAATGCAAACTAACCATCCAGAATGTTCCGGGATTGAACCTGGAAACCAGGGCAGGTGAGAGAAAAGTCTCCGTGCTCCAAACGTTTGTTTGACAGACCGTTCTCATATAAACAATGAAATCATCCGCCCCAAAGTTCTGACACGAATAGCTCACAGGGCCTCAAGCGCACGGCTCCTGTGAGGGGTTGAGGCTGGTACTAAAAGCACACAGGCCTTGGAGAAGAGGAAGAAGGCCTTTTACAAATGCAGTGTGCTGAGGGAAACCATCTCAGTACTGTGAAGACAGACTCCAAGCCCAGCCGTGAACAGGGCAACGCCCCTCCCTCCCCTTCCTTTCTCCAGAACCCGTGGACAGTCCTGAACACGCTCGTTTTGGGAGGAAAGGGGAAGGGCTCAGCACTGGAGGTGCAACTCAGCAGCAAGGAGCCTGGCGCTGACCCCAGAGCCAGCCTGTTGGAGAGCTGGGCTTTGGCAGTTCCTGGAGTCTGAGGCTCGGTCACTCAGCACCCAGTCCTTCCATCTCACGGGGACACGGTATGCCACCAGGGCCCATCACACAGAACACACCAGAGTATGTCATATACATCTCAGATGCTTTCTAGGGTGGACCACAGCACAACTGAAGCTCCGACTACAGCGAGTCCTATGAACCCCACCACATCTGGGCCCAAAAGGAGGCACCCCTGAATTTCTGCAAGATGAAGTGACCTTCTTCTTGTTCCAAGTGCTCGTTGCACTGGGAGAAGGGCAGATGTTAATGACAGGAGAGTTGTGGCGAGCAGGGCACCTAGCACATCATCGCACCAGTGCGTGTGTGAATGGAGTTCCCTAGCCCTGGCTGCTATGCAGCCATTCGGCACGGGACAAATTCAGCCCATCTTACCTTTTCAGGTTTGCTTTCCTTTTCTTTCTAGTCAAGGCACTAAGATTCCTGGGGGCATCTCTTAGCCCAAAGCTCTTCGCCACATGCCCAAGGTGGAGGGATCGGACATGGAAGATGTGCTTCAGCTCCCTGGGGTAGGTGGCGTAGGCTCTGATGAAGGACTGCAGAGCTGAAAGAAAAGAAAAAGGAGTGGGGAGGTAGCCTGTCAGGACCGGGATCTCCAAGCTCCAAAGCACCCGGCCTAATGGTTATCTTCTGGCAAAGAAACATGACCAGGACAATGACAACATATATAAACGACTAAAATGTAGACCACTGTGTATTTCTTCAATTCCTCAACAACAACAAAAAGGAAAAATCTACAGGGGGTCACCATTATTACTTGAATATGCCCCATAAAATTTCCGATTTTGCCACAGAGCTTCTAACAATCCAACAGGGTGGGCCCCAGCACAGCCCCTGGTGGCTGGCAGGCACTTGGTAGGCATTTGTTGTGTAAACAAGTGAAAAGAGAGAAGGGTGAAGAAATGATGAACACAGGACATCGCGTTCTCATGAAAACGAGGAAATCATTAGACATGTATAGTAACACATTTTTCCTAAATTGTACTTATTTTTGAATAGTTAATGTATGCGCGTTACAAAATTCACAAAGTTCAAAAGGCTTTATTATGACTGTCATGTTTACTATGAATGAATGACATTACCACCAATGCCCCCTTCACCACAAGCCCCACCTCCAGTTCCCCTATCCATAGTCAATCCCTAATAACAGTTTCTTGTGTACTCACAGACTTTTTAAATTTAAAGGTTTTTAAAGAAACGGGGTCTCACTATGTTGTCCAGACTGGAATGCAGTAACTTACTATAGCCTCAAACTCCTGGGTTCAAGTAATCCCCATGCCTCAGCCTTCTGAGTAGCTGGGACTATAGGCTAATTTTTAAATTTTTATTTTTGTAGAGACAGGGTTTCACTATGTTACTCAGGCTGGTCTTGAACTCCCGGCCTCAAGTGGTCCTCCTGCCTTGGCCTCTCAAAGTGCCTGGGATTACAAGTGTGAGCCACCTCACCCAGCCTTCCTCATAGGATTTTAAAACCAAATTCATTCTAAAAGTATCCAGGATTAACCAATACAGTGCTTCTTACTCATTCAATACAATGCTTACTTACTGTAAAAAAGGAAATGAAAAAAATTTTTAAAAGGTGAAAGAAAATTACTAAGTCTCTAAAATGGTCCCTTGAGGACTGACAAAATTTAGGTTAATTCATCAAACATTCCATCAGGACAGTTTCAGTCCTGTTATAAAATTAAGAAAAGCGGCCAGGCACAGTGGCTCACATCTGTAATCCCAGCACTTTGGGAGGCCAAGGCGAGCAGGTCATTCATCTGAGGTCAGGAGTTTGGCGCCAGTCTGGCCAATGTGGTGAAACTCCATCTCTACTTAAAAATACAAAAATTAGCTGGGCATGTTGACAGGCACCTGTAATTCCAGCTACTCGGGAGGCTGAGGCAGGAGAATCTCTTGAACCTGGGAGGTTGAGGTTGCAGTGAGTGGAGATTATGCCACTGCACTCCAGCCTGGGCGACAAGAGTGAAACTCTGTCTCAAAAAAAATTAAATTAAGAAAAGAGGGTCCTTGTTCTAGGTCCCACCTCCACCAGAGAAGGGCCAGACTCACTCCCAGGAGGGTGGAGCTATGGTCTCCTTAACTAGGCACTCCCTTGAGGAAGCATTTTCACGGACTGGGTTCCCCTTTGAATACGCAGAAATAACAATGAAAACTGGAGTGTCCACTTGCTTCTCACTCCAGCAAGGAAGGAGGGGGATGTCCGGCAAAGCACTCCCCGCCATCCCTGTCACTGCTCTCTTCACTTCCAACGCTGCTCTTCCGCCAGCCAAGCCAGAGCCCAGCCCACGGTGTCTGATGGAGGCAAGCCTTTGCTTCCTCACCCTCCTTGTTGAGCCACTGGACTGGCAAGTTTGCCCACAGCTTAAACATAATATCCCAGCAGCACCTGGAGATTGGCGTTTATGAACAGTAATAAAAAGTGTCATTTTAGCAGATCAGCTCCTGGAAGGATCCTGGGGAATCCATCAAAGCTCTATTTACTGAGCAAAGTGAACTCCTTTTCCCAATCGATGAGCAATAATAAGCAAGGCAACTCCTCTGTACCCCACTCTTAAACCTGTGCTTACTCCCCTTTTTAACAACCAGCGACTTTTTCAAGGAAAATCTTTAACATTTCAAATAGTCTGTACTATTTGGAGGGTTCTGATGCCACCAGACACAGAGACCCACAGCTGAGCCCTCAAAAGGAAGGCTCTACTGCTGCGTGACCCAGGAGATTCAAGCCTCTTCTCCTCAACCCCCAACGCTTACTCTGGTCTAAAACAACTAGACCAAAACCAAGTCACGCCGAAACCAAACCAAGAGACTGCACTTTCAAAACCTCAGTTACCCAAACCCCAGTCTAGGTCTCTTCATTCCCGACCTCTCTTCTGTGTAAGCAGATGAGCCCCTGGGCTTCCCCCCTGGTCACCACTCTTCCTCTCCACCAATCCTAGGAGCTGAGTGCTGAGAGCATCTACCCCAGGAGACGTAGGTGCCCAGCTAACAGCTTTACAGGGATAATGAGTTTGCCAAGATGTGGCAGGAAGTGTTTTCTCCCCAGACAACTGGCCAGGCAGCATTTCACACTGCATATTTTTACTAAACCTCCTTGTCCTCAAGGCTCCCGTCTCACCAGGGACAGCGACAGTTGGTTGTCCTCACATACTTGCATGGACTCCCATGTTTGGATAATTTGGAGAAGCAGGAATTTCTGATGCTGCAGCAGCTGTCTGCAGGACCTTTCAAGGAGCAGGAAGTGGCTCCTGTTGGCAGTGTCTAGAACGTGCAGAAGGAACAGGGGCTATGGGACCCACACAAGCGGAAAGTGGAGAAGTAATGAAAGCAGACATTTATTTGGGGTGATGGATGAAGCCACAGGCCACTAGAGTTCAGCACTTTGCAGTCACTGATTCCTCTTTCTTGCCAACCGCTTAAGGTGACGGAGTCAGGGAAATCTGTTTTAAAGTATCTCACATGGACACATGGTCCTTTCTCATTCCTGGACATCTGGATCAGAAACTAGTGGTATCTTATGATGACTCGTAAGATGAAGGAGGCAGAAAGAAACAAACCTCCAGACTGGAAGGTGAAGATCATCTCTGCTCCTCCCAACCACGGCCCCCACTCCCACAAGAGCACCCTTCAGTACAGAATAAAGGCACATGCATCTTCCCACCCAACATCAACAGCCACAGCTACAGAAAGGATGGAGGAAAGGAGGTTCCCTGTTATTCTCTTAAAGACAAAGCATTTGGTAAAGTGCCCAGCCCAGCTCTGACTCCACTGAGGGGAGAAGAATGACTCGTGATCACTGTTATAGGTTTTCTAGACTTCGAGAAGCATCCCTTCCAAGCAGGCATAAATCCTGCACGCAGAGTTCCTGCTCTGCAGGAGACCTGAAGATGAAGAGGATGAAGCCCCAGGAGCAGTGGTCACTTGCAGGTGGAAGACTCTAGCTTCCAAATTTTTGGTTCAGGAGTCTGGAATTCAAACTTACTTTACCACTCTTTTTACAACTTGAATCCCTAGCTAAAAGATGCACGAAAACAGGAAAAAGGGGGTAACTGCATCTGGAAACTGACAATTTAATGCCGGTTACTAACGACTGGGTCAGAAAATGCAAAAGGAAAACAAATACATACTTGGCTCAGTTTCTAACTAGTTTTCTGCCGTCAAGGCAAAAGCCAGCTGCTTTGTTAATTATTCATGAGGTGGGTTCTGAAATGGTATAAAAGGGAAGCAAGTCAATCGAGGGGAATTTGCATATGCAGATCGACATGCAAAAGATAGTCTCCACTATGGGGTGCGGTGGCTGTTCCTCTGTTGTGAATTCAATATCTTTAGGGTGGCATTTACGCGTATACTCTCTCAAGTCTCCAAAACTCAGGAGAGAAGGAATGGTGGCCAGACTTATGTCTGAAATGGGTTGCCTGAGCTCTGTAAGAGGCGGTATTGTCCCAGCTCATTATCAATCTGGTGTGGAAATCGATTAGCAAGTAAGAGACATGATACATTTATTTCCTTCATGGTACATAAACATTGGGAAGAGACCCTGTTCCAATATTCCTTAGACAACAGAGAAGTGACTCTGCTTGATTCTTGGTATTAACAAGTTCAACAGTAATGATGGTGACAGAAAACCCAAAACCACATTCTCTAAGAATTACTTACTGTAACTTCTACTCCAATGACCCGGACACCTTGAAATAGTTGTAGTCTTACCAAAATATCTGAGGCATCACTGACACCAAAAATGAAGGTGACAGTGTGGGTTTGATTTCTTTCTTTCCATTGCAACTTTGATACCAGCCCTGAAATTCAGCAGCACAACACCTTGTTATGTACCGCACAGCCAGCTGAACTTGCCTAACTTTCATCAAAGGTCTAAACTCTGTAAAGTTACACTTTGACAAAGACCCTGTTCCTCTTGAGAGACATAGAACAATATTCCTCTAGAGGTAGCAAGGAAGGAAAACCCCTGGGAATTGCTGAATTCACTTAGGGGAAATGCTAAGACAGGGCATTATTAGAGAAAAGTCTAGAAGGTTATACAGTATATACAGTGGCAATTACTGGGACTTCATCTTTTACCTTGTGTGGTTCTGATTTTTTATGATGACAGCCAGCAACTGCAATGATAATGTGCTAAGGGCATGTAACAGGTCCTTGAAAGTATCTGCTGACTAACTCATTTTTAACATCTCTATTTCCTGGTGACCACAATCGCTCCTCAACCAGTCCCCCAGCTTTCACCCAGCTATGTCTACTCCTGCACAGCAGCCAGGTGATCCCTTTCAAACCTAGGTCAGATCACACCACATTTCTGCTCCCGCTGCATTCCGACAAAGACGCAAGGTCCTACGTGATTCTGCCTTGGCCAGCGCCCCCTTTCCATCCACACTGCCTTCCTTGAGCTCTTCTGCACCAGCTGTTCCCAGTGCCCAGGACACTCTTCCTTTAGACAGCCACGGGGCCCATCCTACTCTAGGCTTTTGCTCAGGTATCACCTACACAATGAGGCTCACTCTGACCCCATTAAAAATGCACTCTGCTGTGTCACCCCTTCCCCTTCCCCATCTCCTTCTACCTATTCCATAGCTCTTGTCACCTTTAAACAGACTAATTTATTATGTTCATTATGCTCACTGTCTGCTGCCCCTGCACCCCACTAACATGTTGGCTTCACAAAGGCAAGGATGTTTGTTTTGCTCTGGCATATATTCTAAGCACTCAGAATAGTGCCCAATTTGATAAATATCTGTCAAATGATTTTTAAAATATTTCTATCTACATATAAACAAAACGATGCTACATTGTTCCAATATTGGTAAGCCAGCCTGACACTCTTCTCAAAATAGCAGGTAACGAACAACGACAAAAAAAAACCTGTGCGTCCTCCAGCATGAAGTCTCATTAGACATGGGTAAGTCTCTGGCCAAGACATTCCATGATAAAAAGTAGCAGTGATGATAACCCCCCTTTGGCCATGCACTGCTAATTACTCAAAGTGAACTGCTAAGTCCACATCTAATGTACAGTGATCCCTGGAGCCAATTTATCCCACAAAGGGTCTATATGAAATCAATACCAAACTCTTTAACACATTTCCTAGGAATTGGGTTCATGGTCTATGGCTCTTCCTTAGCACTGCTCTTTCTCATTTTATTTTGTGCCTTCAAATAGGAACTGCTTAGGTCTCATATTTCCAGTGCTGGTCTTCATCTCCAATTTCCATCTCTACAACTACTTCTACGAACGTTGTCACATCTCTTCTATCTGGTTTCCAAAGAAAGAGAAAGATCAGATCCCTAAGATCAAAGTTGTTGGGTCAAAACCCTATCCTGATATAAGCCAAGATAAAGCCTCATTTGCGCAAAACACAGGGAAGGATGAAATTAACATTTAATATCACTTTAAAGCCTTCCGTGCCTGCTTCCAAACCCTGCAGAATTATGGAGATTGAAGGCTTTGGCTGGTGAGCAGAGATCCCAGGTTCGTCTCTCAACTGGTTTGGGGGTATGTGGGTGAAGGTAGAGGACAGCTGGGCTATCCACTCCACAAGCACCTAGGAAATCGACTGACCTTTCTTTGCCCAGGAGACCCTCCTCTCGCTGGAGTGCACGTAATCTTCAAATACTGTCTGTAAGACTGTGGCTCGCTCTCGGATTTCCTGGGGACCAACAGCATGGGATTTCTGAAAGGGTGACGGAAGGATTAAAGGAGAGACAGAGTCAAAGTCAGGAATAATGAAGCAGTTTATAATAGATTTAATAACAGTAAAATCACACAGTAACCAGCTAGGGGCCAACAAGGGTAATCCTTTCAATATTACTAGGGAAAAAAAGGAGCTGTAGAGATGTTAAAGTCAAGTAAAGATGAGGATGGCTTTATGAGAGAGATCAGGTCTATTTACTTATTTACTTCCATTTCTTCCTGACCTATTACCATGCATGTTCAAAATCAAAGGCCTCTGGAGACACTTTGGAATTTTCCAAGTCCAACTCAGACATGTAAAACATCATTGAACATGAGCTGTTTTCAAATGGATCTTGGATCTCCTACGATTCTTCACCTTTCCCTTGTATGCATCAGTGGAACACTGACCATTTCTCTCCATGAGCACTCCACGGTGACCTGCCTAAAATTCTGCCTTAAAAAGTTACCCCCTGGCCGGGCGCGGTGGCTCAAGCCTGTAATCCCAGCACTTTGGGAGGCCGAGGCGGGTGGATCACGAGGTCAAGAGATCGAGACCATCCTGGTCAACATGGTGAAACCCCGTCTCTACTAAAAATACAAAAAATTAGCTGGGCATGGTGGCGCGTGCCTGTAATCCCAGCGACTCAGGAGGCTGAGGCAGGAGAATTGCCTGAACCCAGGAGGCGGAGGTTGCGGTGAGCCGAGATCGCGCCATTGCACTCCAGCCTGGGTAACAAGAGCAAAACTCAAAAAAAAAAAAAAAAAAAAAAAGTTACCCCCTAACCATGAATTTCAGAGCATGCTTCCTCAGTGCCTAGAGCAGTTCAGACTTCTAGTGTTTCAGATTCATTCCTCCAGCCCATGGCCACTGTGCTGAGTTCCCAGGAACCTATTAAAGAGTGAGTGGGCTGTTCCAGGAAACCATGTTCAAAGGCTGCCTGGATCTTTGCAGCAAATTGTTCCTGTGTAAGAAGTAATATCTGTGTGCATGCAAAGACCCTACAGATGGAAAATGTTAATAAAATTCACAATTATTTTCTTTTCATCTTCAACAGTACCAGAGAAAAAAAAATTCCTTTTAAAACATCCCTGCTTAAAAACTAGTGGCTTTTGTCTCCAATATCTTAAAACAAACATGAGTGTTTTTTCTACTGAATGTGAAATCGGGAGAACACAGATTCTCTAACCCAATGAGGCCCACCTGCCAAGTGACACCGATCACTTGTGTGGTACTGGTGCCTTCACCTCTGCCCGCCACCCCAATGTGGACCCCTGGGGAAAATCCAGAGTGAGACCCAGGTCCTGCTGCTTAACCTTGTAGAGGACGGGGTATGTATGAGCACTCTGCATCTGGCCTAATCAAGACTCCCCGAGCCTCTCTTTTGCCTTTAAGGCTGACAGAGGAAGAACAAAGAGGAGGAAAGAAAAAGCCTCATTCTCTGGATCGACGTTCATCTCTATATTAAGAGGCTTAACAACCTGAAAATGTTTTTAGTTTAGTCAAATCATTCCTGCTACCTGTTTGGTTGATGACAGTCTCGCTGATTTCACAGTACAATACAAGGTCCCCCTAAGGCTTCTATCCGCTGAAATGCCAGGAGAAGAGTCACTCAGGAGCTGTGTTACCAAAGTGGACATTTGCTATTGTCATTAACAAGGATTTTTTTTTTTCTACCCTCTTAACTGATGTGAAATGCAAACTTTTTTTTTTTTTGCTGCCCTCCTTTCGTTAAGCCACCTCAGCAGCGCAACTGTCACCTTCCCTGTGTGTGTGTTTTTTTTAATATGAATGTGAAATTAGCGAGGATGCCCTTTCCCCTGGCGGACAGAATCCTCTGTTATTAAAAAGTAAAGCACTTTAATAATGAAAACTTTTCCCTCTTTTTCTTGTGTTTTAACTGTTTAAAATTAATGAGAAGGGCAGAATGGTTGTCAAAGAGATATTGAAAGCCGGGCAGCCAGGACCGAATAAGCACAAAAATCCCTCTAGAGTGTTAAATAAACAGAGCTCCAGCCCTCTCCGAATCCCTCTGTTGGTTATTGTATACATTCTGTAACAGCTCTCAGAATAGATCTGAGAGCCAGGGAGGCAGAGAGGTTTCAGAATTCCAATAAAGGCCTCAAATTAAAGACAGCCTGGTGCGAATTCCAGGAGAAAATTAAAGAGACCTCAAGCTTAAGTGACAGGTGACTTGCTTCTGTGTCACAACTGTCAGGGGATTTAGTGATAATATGGCAATATATTACAAAGGGCTTTTCTTATTCCCCCCTTTAGGTTTCAAAATGAGGCATCTTTTCTTCCCAAAAAAAAAAAAAAAAAAAAAAAAAATTACATATATATAATGTGAGTGTGTATATAAGTGAAATATGTAGGGAAAAAAACACGATAGAACTAGGTTCACAGGTTTGAAATGATGAGGTCAGTTTTAGTAAAATATAAGAAAAAGTTAATGACAGAAAACACAATATACAATACTTAGGAAAAAATATCTTACTCCTCCCTAGCCCCCGCTTCCAGAAATACCTTATTTTAAAATTGCCCCTCTTGAGAATGAATGAGGTATTTTTCAGTTGTCTTCTGGGGAGGACAGTCTAAATTTAAACTGAAGACAGAGGGGGCAGAGTTATGCAGCAGCATCTCAGCCCCAGACAGGTAAAATGCGCCTGTAATGAGAGTGGGTCAAACCCCTGAGGGCACACGAATACCCCGCAGGACCGGCTCTCCCACCCTCAAAGAGGAAGGCTCAGTACTGGTTAATGAAGCTAACTGGCAACTAGCGGACCGCGGGTAGTTTAGAAAAATACATTTCCAACCACCCATCTGCACGCAATGCACCTTTGTCTCTAATATCCTACTGATCCTGGAAAAAAACAGACCATCAGAAAGGATGAGAAGGGGGCTGTGAACTTATTTTAAGATCTCACAATACCAGCAACAGCTCCTTTGTTAGGATAAATTTACGGGTATATTTCATAGGACAAAAACCCTTGTAGGAAAAACATGGTTGGGTGTGTGTATATTATGATGCTGAAGACTTCACACCTACCAAGAAGCAGCAGATGAGTCTAAGATAATTAGGCTGAAAGTTTTGGTAGTAGCAAAGGTGGGTTTTTGTGAAAGCCTGTGCCTTAATATTGCCAACTTCCAAGGTATTTTTAAGCTAAATGGAAGGGTTTTGTTTTAATCACTTTATTGCCAAGCTGAGTTTTACCTCCATGGTCCCTAGAACCTTCTGAGTGCTTCCCAGTAAAGTTGAAAGATCAAATTTATTCTCTTTGTAGGCAGGTGAACATTCACACACCCAGACATAGCTATATATATTTTATATACCTAAATATGAAATATACATTTTACAGATGCTTCACTCGCTTTCTTTCTGTTCACAGAAGCCCAAAAATGTATGTGCCAAAGGGACATTTACCATGGGTTTCAATCGCGCTGGGTGAAAGAGAGGGGCGCTGTAATGAGGTGTCTGGCTGTGTGTATAAAAGGCCTCGCTACTGAACCCACATTTACATGCCTGGCATTAGTTCACAGGCTAGAGAACTGCTCAAATTGAGGACAACAATGAAGACACATGGTATTTCTTATGCACAATAGAATTAAAATTTTTTTTTTTTTTTTTTAGATGGAGTTTCGCTCTTGTTACCCAGGCTGGAGTGCAATGGCGCGATCTCGGCTCACCGCAACCTCGCCTCCTGGGTTCAGGCAATTCTCCTGCCTCAGCCTCCTGAGTAGCTGGGATTACAGGCACGCGCCACCATGCCCAGCTAATTTTTTGTATTTTTAGTAGAGACGGGGTTTCACCATGTTGACCAGGATGGTCTTGATCTCTTGACCTCGTGATCCACCCGCCTCGGCCTCCCAAAGTGCTGGGATTACAGGCTTGAGCCACCGCGCCCGGCCAGAATTAACAGTTGTATCCAGCATCTACTTTATTCATTTCACTACTGACATGTACCACACGCATCAAACACCCTCTCGGGTTGTGTATCTATGTGGTAATTAGTAACACAGTCAATTTACTTTAGTTTTTTTTTTTCCCTCTGAATTCACGTGAAACTTGGCTCAGCAAGCCAAGTCCTTACCAGCATGACACCTAGAGCAAAGGATGGTTAATTTAGCGTTCTAAGTTAGGAAAGCCCAACCTTGCTTAGCACTTTTTTTCATAAAAAAAAAAAAAAAAAAAAACACCAAACCTTAAAAATATCCAAGCATTCATTACTATCTATCAGGGCAGGAGCTGGGGCAAGATTATAACATACAGTTTCCAGACCTAAGAATCTGTGAAGTCTGGAAGTAGAGCACTTTCTGCCTCATTTTGTTTAAACCTCACAACAATCATGTGTTTTACAGATGGAAAAACTGAGACTGCGGAGAAGATACTCCGTCTGATGTAGCAGAGCTACCAGCTGTGAAGCAAGGATGCAAACTCAGATTCGTGTCTGTAAGGCTTTGGGGCCTGGCTCTTACTCGTGAAGTTATGACCGCTCCTCAAGTCTCAGGAAGTCTTTGAGGCTGGCCTCAAGCCAGGGAAAGGCTTAAGGAGAAGAATTTATGCTGCAAGGCCACAGAAGGGCAGAAGTTACCAAAAAAAAAAAAAAAAAAAATGACTGAAGCTTGTTGCTGAAAGAGCAGAGGGAGATGCAGCTGCTCCGCTCCTTCTTCGGGGACATGTCCTTCAGGAGAGGCTTCCTGCCCTTCCACACCTTCCCTGCGCTGTGTAGACATACAACGATCAACTCCCTGGAGAGAAATGATCTGTGCTCAGGGACAAAGGCTGACATCAAAGCCAGGCCCAGAGAGAGTATACGTGAGACTAGGTTTGATCAAACTCACCATCTCGTTTTGTAATTGTACTACTTGCTCTTATTTCTGGAGCTGGCAGATGCTAATGTTCCAGTTATTATGATACAGCAAAAAAAAGGGCACTGGGATTCGTGTCCCTGAGTCTGGGCTTTAATTCCACATCTACTACTAACTGGAATGACTACAAATAATCATGAAAGTTACAGTAATAATAAAAAATGCCCTTTGGGCTGGGTGTGGTGTCTCACGCCTGTAATCCCAGCACTTTGGGAGGCCAAGGTCAGGAGTTTGACACCAGCCTGGCCAACACGGTGAAACCCCATCTCTACTAAAAATACTAAAGTTAGCCAGGCATGGTGGTGCATGCCTGTAATCCCAGCTACTTGGGAGGCTGAAGCAGAGTTGTGTAAACTCAAGAGGTGCAGGTTGCAGTGAGCCAAGATCATGCCACTACACTCCAGCCTGGGCGATAGAGCGAGACTCCATTAAAAAAAAAAAATGCCCTTTGGTCCTATGCTTTTTACTTGGGGCTCCAGGACTATTTCTCACATAATCCTCTGATGTCCTTAGAAGAACACTATTTTTATCTCAACTTTACACACGAAGAAACTGAGGCTTAGAAAGGTCCAGTCCTTGCCCAATGTCACATGCTGGTGACAGATAACGCACATGACCCTGAGGCCATCCTCTTAGCCACTCTGCTACGCTGCCTCCCCGAAAAGAAACTGAGGCTTAGAAAGGTCCAGTCCCCGCCCAAGGTCACACACTGGTGACAGAAGAGAAACGTGACCCTAAGTCCACGCTCTTAGCCACTCTGCTACGCTGCCTCTTCGAACAGCTCCCCATCTGCTCCCTGCCGATCCCACAGAGTGGTCCTGGTGCCATAATGAAGTATCCGGGGAAACATTAAAAAAGAAACCAAAGAGCCCCGTAACTAGAATTTACAATAGTTCCAAAAGAGTGGAAGTGCACCAAGACCAATGAAGATCTGTCTCATCACTGGTCAACTCCCCTAACAACAAAGTATTAATAAAGGGTGGTCCAGAGGCTTGTGTGTCTCATTTGACTTGCTTAAGGTGACCTGACGACCAATGGAGTCTTTAATAGGTCTTATTGTTCACAGGGATCTTTGCCGTGGTACATTTGTTGATCAAATTTTACCTCTAAAAATGACTAACATTGCCTTATTTAAACAACAATTCAGTTCAATTGTCTTGGTTTAGTTGTACTAACAAAGGCACACTGGTAAACAGTTAAATATGTGTGCTTTGCAGTTAGAGTTCAAATCCCAGAATGACCAATGATTATTAGTGTGCCCTATGAAAGTTCCTTAACCCTTCTAAGTCTCAGTTTCATCATCTATCAATTGGGGCCATAGCTACCTTCCTAGGTGGCCAGGAAGATTAAATGTGCCCATGCACGGAAAGAGTCTAGCCAAGTCTTGGGTTCAGAACACACACTTTGCTGATAGAGGCTCTGGCTATTTCCTCTCCTTGTGTCACATACATTTCCTTAGATGCTCTCTAAAACAAGAGAACTTAAGTCAGGGCCAGTGAAACGGGTCCCTCCCTGCTCAGGGAGAATACTGATCCAAATATAGGCACATGCTAAATCGTGAGAGACACTCTCAAGCGTGACCTATCTGGCCCTGATTTTCCAGTCCGTCCTTAGACATAAAAAAAAAATGTAAAATATTCAAGTAATTAATATCCCATAGACAAAATTACATATAGCAACTGTGCACTCACACACATGGAATGCTGAGTGAGGGGGTGGGGTGGGGTGAGGGAATAATGGTATAGTCAGGGTGCAGCCACAGAGAAGGGGTAGGAAAGGATGTTCAGGGCTGTCTGCACCTGCTCGGAATCTCCATATGGAACTGCACGGATAATAAAAATTTTTCTTCTTAATGATCTCAACTTTACTCTTCCTCTGTGGATAGCACACACACATTAAAAAATGGATGAACTAAGTGTGTCTGAAAGGAGACACAGAGATCCTTACTTCTTTCATGCTGTCTGGGATAGGCAGGTCTAGGCAGCCGTCCTTGCTGATAATCTGGACAGGGACCACCGGGGCTGAGCATGTGACGCTGCCTCCAGACTCATTCTGGCCTGGACCTCCTTTCTGGGGAGCCTGCTGCTGTCTGGCAGGCTTCCAGAATGGACCGTAGCCCACTCACTGGATAAGAGCAGCAAACACATCCAGAAGCAAAGATGAGAAAAAAAAAAAAAAATCAAGATCTGGCCTCATCTAATGTTCATGGTTTTTAAATGTTTTGCTTGACAGAGGAAATAACTCACACACACAGTCTCTACTACCCCAAATCAAGAAGTGAGTCACGTCTGTTAGCAGCAAGCACGATAAATAATAAAACTCACCTGGGTTCCCCATCGTTTCCCTTTAAAACAGTCATCTCTGGTCAGAACACACAAAATATCTTCCATCTTAATCTCAGAAACGCTGTAAAAGGAAGGGCATAGCATGGTAAACTTTCTGCTCTTTCGAAAACACCAAAGACCTTGATGCATAAAACTGACCTATTCTTGAGCTAATTAGACATGGGGCAGAAGTGACACCTTCTAGGAAAGGAAATATTTTCCTAAACTCTTAGGAATTGAGAAGGGGACCTCTATGATATTAAAGGGACAGGATGATATTCCTGACAATTTCTTTCCTCCCTGATGAATTTAAAATAGGCTACATTTAGAATCTCCTTAATAGAGATTATGTCACTATTTCTTGATAAATCTTGAATACCAAACAAGCGTGCTCGCTCACTGATCAACTCCCTTGGCTTGAGCAGATGACGATGAAACAGAAAGCATTTTAGTCTTTTCACAATGAAGAGGAAAAAAAGGAAATAAAAGGGTGGCCAACCATCCTCCACTGTGGGGTAAACACCCCATGAGGGTAACGAGAGCACAAAGCCCATCCACAGCAGCACTGCTCCGTCTTCTTCTACCCTGGAGGAGCTTCACTATCCTCGTCTCTTAATTACTGAGGGGTGAAGACCAAGGGATCTCTGATGAACCCAGAGCTGTGTGCCAAGCAATAGTACAAGAACTTGGGCTTCACTCAGGAACAGAAGCCACAAGGAGCCAGAACACAACAGTCAGAGCTGCCTAGTGGTGGAGTCTGGAAAACCTCCGCTTCATCCAATCGACTGCAAGTCCACAGCATCTGAATGTAGGAAGCAGAGAGAGACTCGCATGTCAAGACATGAAGGAGGAAATGTGCACTGCTGAAAACAGTTTCCCAGGGAGAAAGGGAAAGAGAAGGAGGAGTTCGGGGGGGTGAGGAACAGATCATAAAAAGACAAATGATTTTGTTGTAAGTTCTTTTTATAAATGTAACAGCAAATTAAAACATGAATGGCAACCTCTTAGGTGGGAGAAGACAATTCTCCCCCTCTCCCCCAAAGGTTACTCTGACAAGGCTATGAATGAAAATGTCACGTCTCTGACAGCGATTTACCTGAAATGTGTCATCTCTTCCCTGCACACCCCCAGCCCTCACCCCTCAGCATCCTCTCTCTGCTGCCAACTCACAGCCCTATGGATGAGTGAAGTCTTTTTACAGCAGCAAGAGTCAACCAGAGGAGGCAGTGCATGCTCTCAAAGGGCAGCAGTTGGAAGGAGAGTGCCCAGGACTTCACAGAAATCTATTTTTCACAGGAGAGAGGAATGCATGGATATTGAACTTGCCTCTTATTTATGCCTGAAACCCTGAAAGAAGGTGAAAACATAGCCCAGTCCCATCTTTTTCTCTATCTGATTTGCTTCTATTCATCACTTTCTTTCTTAAAAAAAAAAAAAAAAAAGAGGAAAAACACAAAAGTAAAAAAAAAAAAAAAAAAGAGGAAAAACACAAAAGTAAAAGAAATACCAGACCTTGGAATCAAATCTTGAAGCAGAGAGAAAGAAAAAAAGAATAATGCCATTTGCAGACAGGAATATAAAAAGCTAAATATGCCACAGAAAGGCAGTGTTCTCAAGTGCATGTGCTGATACTCCAGCCAGAGCAAGGCTCATGGGCTATGTGTCCACATGGTGATGTGGGGGACCATACACCCCAAGCAAACAGGAGCTGAGAGGGAACTCAAATGATTTACAGTTTAAAAGGGCCTTCTTCCTCTTCTTAAGAAATCGCTACTTCTGAGGAACAAAGCAAACCTACTCTGATTATTTATGGGTCCATCAACAGATCTGAATCACCCCACCTTAGTATGAAACGAGATGGGTAAATAAATAAATTCAGGGAACTGTCTTATGCCTGATCTAAGAAATACACGTTTTGATGAAGCATTTACACTTTAATAAACCAATGATGATTTTCATTAGAAACACATTTAAAGGGGAGGCAGGAAAAAGTTAAGAAGTTGACGAATACAAAGAAGTCTAAAGAATGCAGAAGCAAAGTTCTGAGCATCTAGACAGAGGGGGCAATGGCCCAGGAACCTGTCTCTTGCCCTGTCTGCTCCATTCAACTGTCAGGGTGAGCATTGCAGCACTGGTCTAGGAGGGTAGGCAGCCATTTGTGGTGCTGGCCCTGGCTGCCGAGAGCCTCCGCCGCCTTCTCAACCTGCCCCGTGGCGCCTCAGCCCGCCCAGCGCCCCGCTGCCCGGCTCTCACGTTCTCAGGCACAAAACATGCACACACTTCCTCCTCCTCAAAAAGTATTTCAGGGTGTACCTTTTGGATTCTAAAAATGTTTGAGTCTGCTTCCCAATGCACACTCTGCAACTAGTTAATACTTTTTCCTTTTTTTTTTTTTTGCATTAAGTCAAATAAATAGTTCATGTATAGCTATCCAATGTAGAGCATTTCCTCAAACAGAAATTGGGAAGAACAATGCATGATGCAACATAATAACCCAGATTCTGATGTCTGTTTAAGACAATTACAGCAAGCCCATGAGGCAGGCAGCGGTCCTGGCCCAAGCCCCCCATAAGTGAGTGTTCAGGGCAGACACCAGGGTAATGGGACTCATGCAAGGACCCTTCCCTCCTCATGTAAATGTGCTTACACCACCCTGCAGAGTCTCCACCAAAAGACCTACACTTCCTCCTTTCTGAAGAGACTGTGTTGCCACTGAGTTCTCCCCTTTTTAATGTGGGATTAAAAAGAAGGGAGTCATGCAAATGCAGACACGCTATTTTTTTCCAGACAAGATCATCACAGCAGATGACAGGATCTGTTATGTCTTTAAAATACACTGACTCTCTAATACTTTGTGCCTCTGCTTATCACCGTTTTCCCTTCTCAATTTTAGCTTTACATTTGAGCCCTTCATAGCAATCTCCTTGAATGTGTTCTTGGAGAAAAATGAAGAAAGCAAAGTGGGGCACCTCTGCTGTTAACTCTGGCCTTAGACAATTATCACTGGACTCTGTAACTGCTGTCACTCATTTTTCTTAGGAAGAGGTCATGTCACAGTGAATGAGCATGGGGGAACATCCAGACAGCTGCGGTCAGGAAGGAACGGGAGAATGGGAATTGGCAGCTCTAGAATGGAAGGAGGACGAAAAGAAGCGTGGAGTGACTGATAACGCTGTTAAGGTGTGGTGACTACATTTTCTATCATGGGGCCACAACACCAAATTCTGAAAGTGCTTTCTGCATGTACACGAATTCCTATGACAGAGGAAAGCAGCCCCCAGCAGCACTGTGACGGACTCCCAGCCTCTGAGAACAGGGTCAGGGAAGAAAAGGAAACCGGCTGTGCCAGAGGCTTGTATTTCAACTTCCCCAGGGTTTCTGCTGCACCTGCCTGGTGGGTGTCGGCTTCGATGCTGAAAGGGCCACAAAGGGAGGCCAGCCAGCCTCCAGCTGAGGGAGCTCAGAACTCAGCAGCACTGGGTGAAAAGTGACCGACTAATCCATATGAGATTTCTCTCACTAATAAGATATGATATGCACATCTTCCTTAGCAAATAAAAACCACTCTTTTCAACTGGCAGATTGTGTTACGATAAGGAACACAGGAAGAAAGGAAAACCCCAACTATATTTTGGCCCCCGGCATGACTACCAGGGCCAGGAGTAGTTTCCCGCCACCCCCAACACTGCAGGGCACACGGCACATTTTCTGAACAAGCCCCAGTGCATAGGTGTTCACACTACCAGCCTTGAAAGCGTCTGGGGAAGTCTTACTAGCATGAGAGGCTGAGTTCTGCAGGTGGGAGGTTGGGCAGGGCCTGGTGGGGACAGCCACACATGGCTCCTGCAAGCGAGTGGGCAGCAGAGCCGCCAGGTCTGGAACCCAGGGCTTTATTCAGGGGTACGAGGTGCTGGACTGTGACACACAGGTGGCGGCTGAACGTGCTGGCAGTGAGTGTAGTGTGGATTTCAACGGCCTCAAAGTCATGTCCCCCGGATTTATCTTCCTGGGGGAGGGAAACTGTGTGAGGAGTAAAAAGCATTATTTTTTTAAAAGACAAATCAACTTTGAAGATACAAATCATTAATTGCAAGAAATAAAAGTGAATAAAAAGCCTTTCAGAAGCTGTGAAGATGATGCACACTTACCTCGCAGCAGGAGAAACAGAACACGGTCTCTGAAAGAAAACCAAGTACAGCAGACCCTATGACTTAGTCTGGCAACGCAATAAAAACTGTCATGTGCTGAGGATATTAAGGGTTTTAGTTTTTGCCACTGGCTATTCTGGGACTCATTTAGGGATCACAAGGGTTAATGGCTCTTCGTCAGCTTACAAGGCCCATCCACTGTAAAAAGCGACAGAAAGTTAATTAGGTGAGATCAGCTGAAACCCCATTCAGGTTTCTGACTCACTTGATTTTGTGAGAAGCCAACGAGTTGACATATTCTGCCTCCGAAGGAGCCAAAATGAGCAGGCTGCTCCCATGGCAGCCAATCCGGGCGGTTCTTCCAATCCGGTGGATGTATTCTGCAGGTGAAGACGGAGCGTTGTACTAAAAAGGGTAACAAAAATGAAGGCATTCATAGATCAAGGGGCTGCCATTAATTGGAAGTGCAATACCCCTCACCTGCCTGCAGGTATCCCAAGAATTAAATCCTGGTGCTATGGTTACCCTAACACAATCACAAGGAGAAGTCACTCAACCCTGAAACTCCTGGCTTCATTGGAAATAACAAGGCTCTGACACGCAAATGTGAACAGTGGCCAAGTTTCCGATAAACGAGATGTCTTCTCATCCCAGTATCTCCTTTTTAATTTTACTTCTCCACAGGTCTCTTCATCTTTTCACTGTGGTGACTGTATGAGGTGAAAATGTAGGCAGGTGGGGGTAAATTTCTCCAGGATGACCACATGACCTTGACCTACTTCCTTGGTAGACAAGGCCACAGGGTGAGGTGTCCAGAGGACACAGGAGGGTGTGGATGAAGGGGCTCCCTGCTCTGCGGGCAGAGTCTACCTCTGCTGCCAGGCCACCAGGAGCAGGCCCCAGGAGCTGGTTCCCACCAGCCTGCCATAGCCCCACGCAGTCCTTCAGAATGAAGGCCATTCTACAGAATGCGGGCAGGTGAGGGGCAGGTTCTCTGCAGGTAGGGACGTGATTCTGCTTGCATGGAGAGCACTGCCGACTCAGAGAAAAGAGCAGACTCTATCACTCATTATGATGGATTACACACAGCATTTTATGTTTTCTTTGGCAATAACTTCGTCATCATTAAAGCTAAATGACCATCCACTCATTCTTCCTTCCCCCCCTCCTTTGATGCTACACAAATCAAAGAGCTGAGGGCCAAGGTGAATATAATGTATGGGAAGCTAGGCATATTAAATGAATCAATATTCACAATATAAGCTCTACATGATCAATTCTGTATGTCTGGCCTCCCGTCTATTAAAAATCATCATTGTCTTATCTTCAATTCACTCTGTGGCCAGCAGGAAAGAAGACACAATGCCTCCAGTTCTAAAGTGATCATCTGAAGTGAGCAGATCAGATTTCCTGGCCAGTGACAGGCATGCAATCCCACTAAAATGTGAATAAACCATGACTCACATCAACAGGGCACGTGTCCCCCAGCCCCCACACAGAAGGGCTTAAAAATACCATTCTGCAGACTAACGAAAAGAAAAAACAAAACTAAAACCACTAGACTCTAGTGCTAACACCTGTACCCTCTGGCAAAGCATCTAAGACTAGAGGTATGTGTAAGATGCTGTCAGGAACTTAATTGCTCCCTGCAGGTCAATATACATGGACATGGCTCTCAGGACAGCTGAGCCGTCTCCTTCTGGACACAATGAGGCCTCCCAGGGGCCAAGGTAATTCCCGTTATTTTCTGATTGTTGAAATTTTGGTTTGTGACATGAATTAGTCTGGAAGCAGGAGAGCCCGTCACCTCCCGCTCATGAACGCACATTCTGGCTGTTTTGCTGCGGTGGTGAGATGGGCTGGGTTAAGGAAAGATGTCAGAGGAATTGTACAGATAAGGTTGGTTTGCTGCCTGGTTACCAGGGCAACACCCAAGGGAATAATAATAATTATTCTACTTAAAGCCAATGCATCTACTCATGATCATATCTTCCTGCCTAAAGCTTACACCTTAACAACTGAAAAATTACCTGAACAATCCACGTGACTTGAGGGAGATCTAAGCCCCGAGCTGCAACATCCTTTAAAAGAGAAAAGAATATGGTTTAACACTGAGTTTCTGAACCTATCTGGGGTCCTGGATATGTTTGCTAATCTAACACAAACTCTGAGAGTTCACCCCCCAACAGTGCATGCACATTCACGAATACATGTGTATGCCTGGTATGTACGTACACACACGTGTACACACACGTGTACACACACACACACACACACACACACACGCTCCTGCATACAACTTTATGGGGCTCAGGGACCCACTGCAGTCCTCTTGTGGTTAAAAATTCTGATTTAGGGGCAAATTCTACAGAACCCATTGGTTGAGAGACTCACAACACCCTTTGCTAAAAGAATCGACAGGTTAGCCTAGAAGCTTAAGTAGTAATTATTAGCTGTGTTAGGTAAAGAATTCTGAACACTTCTAGCACGTTTTATTGATTTACATTTTACCTGAAAGACCACTTGATGACGAACACATTCATGGATTATCATCCCTAGCCCACAACTATGAGCAACTCCTAACAACAAGCTGGCCTTGAGGTGTGTTCTGGAACATCTCCCCTCAAGGCATTCACTGCAGGGGTGAAGTGCAAACTATTTACTGAGGATTTTGCTTTCTGGCCTCAGAAAGCAGCAAGGATCTAGTAATCCCATCTCTTCTGATAGCTGGATTCAAATACAGGCCAGACCCATTAATCACTTCAAAGACTTAGCTAGACAGCTGAAAAACTAAAAGCAATGGAGATTGATTTTTAATTTTATTTATCTTTTCGACTGGTCACCACCTAAACAGCAAAAATTCTCTGTTCTCTCACCATTCTAGCAGACTAGAAAGCAGGAATTTCCCCGTCTTTAGCATACTTTAGCACTCAGCATTCATTTTTCAAGAATAACAGTCACAACAAGCGTCCCAGTCAACATTTACTAAACACTTACTACCCAACACGCACACTACACTGAGAATTTCACCTGCATTATCTGACTAATCCTCAAAACAACTATGACCCCCATTTGGCAGATGAGAAAACCATAGTTGAGAGAGATTAAGTATTTTGTTCACAGACCCGCAGCTGGGAAGTAAAAATAATCCTCAAATCCAGGTCTGCTTTGCTTTTTCAAGGTCCTATTATATTATACCACATTCCACCACCAAAAATCAACCTATGTGCCTCATATGCTGCTGGTGGGAATCTCTATATCCAGCAAAATTACATGTGCATTTGCTCTTGACCCAGAACAGTATCACTTCTAGAAATCCACCAAACATATTTGCTCATATTTCAGTAAGAAATAATAGTGGGAAGAACCCCAAAGCTCAAGAAAATAGTTACCTCCAGGGGAGGAAGAGAAGGGGAAGGACAGGATAAAGATGGAAGCCAGACTTTCTTTAATGAACATTGACACTTTTGACTCAGACAGTGGAAGTGTCTTGGCATAATTTTAAAACATAAACAGCTATCACAATAGGGAATACAGAGTATCATTTATGACATATTCTTGCCAAACAAAACAAAACCTGAAACCTAGAACCTAAATCTAAGCAAGTATCTAGATCCAACTACTAGTGCACAGGAAGTACGGGAGAAAGAGGAACATGTTGACCACCATGAGGACACAATTAGCCAAATCCTGAGTGTAGGGTATTCTAAAAGATCTGGTTTTAACCAAAAAATTTAAAGAAAAAGAGAGAAGGAGTAACAACACCAAAAAAACATTAAGTAGGCAGATGGAGAACCAACACCTTGACAGAGGCTCACAAAATCACCAACTGTGGTTATGTCTGGACAGAGGATCTAGGGGGATTTTTACTTTTCTCTTTGTGTTTTCCTGTGTTACTTACTTTGGTTTTAACAATCAGTTCTTATCATTTACCCTACCATTTTTATTTATAAAAATTTAAACCTATAGAAAAGTTAAGAGACTAGAACAATTTAGATGAAGGAGATACAGATGGTAACTTCTTCATCTAGATTCCACCACCGCCAGTCTCTGGCCCATCTGCGTCTACGCATGTGCACGCACGCATACACATATGCAAGCACATTTTTCTGAACCATCTGAAAGTAGGCTGCACACATCATGACACTGTAACCCTAAATACTTTAGCACATACCTCCTAAGTAAAAGGACATTGATCTACATAACCACACCACCATTATTACACCTAAGAAATTTAACACTGAATAACATTTTCTAATAAACAGTCCATATTCAATTTTCTCCAATGATACCTAAGATGTCTTTTTTTCAAAGATGGGGTCTCATTCTGTTGCCCAGGCTGGAATACAGTGGCACAATCACTGCTCACTGCAGCCTTGATCTCCTGGGGTCAAGCGATCCTCTGGCCTCACCCTCCTGAGTAGCTAGGACTATAGGCAAGCTCCACCAAACCCACGTAATCTAGATTCTTTTTGCCCAGGCTGGTCTTATACTCCTTGGCTGAAGTGACCCTCACACCCCAGCCTCCCAAAGCATTGGGATTACAGGCATGAGCCACCACGCCTTACGAGGCCTTTTACAGTTGTTTTTCTTTCCTAAGCTAGGATCAGATGGCAGATTGCACACTCCATTATGTCTCTGTAGATTTCCTTAATTTGGAACCATACGCCTGCCTTTGACTGACTTATTTAGTTTTCGATGTCTGTCATTTTTTAGGAACATCAAAATGTTCCTGAGGACACCGGACAACAGGATTTGTCTAACTGCTTCCTCATGGTAAGGTTCTGGCTGGGAATTCTGGCATCAACAAACTCAGGGTGGTGTTCCCTGTTGGGAAACACACTTTGGGTGAGTCTGTCCTGTATGGGTCCCTCTGTTGTGAAGGTGACTTTCTCCTTTGTAATGAGTAAGTAACTGGGGAGTGACACCTTGAGACCAAGCGAATAACATGGTTCTGTTTCCTAAAACCTTTCACCCAAGGCTTTTAGCATTATTGCTGGTCGTTGTCTGTATTGTTACCTTGATGACTCTTTAAGTCTACCATTCCTTCCTTCTATTCCGCTGCTCTGGGATAATTCTGTAAAAACAGCCCACCACCCACCCACTTTTAAGTATCACAGAGGATTCATATGTATATAGCTTTTTTGAAAAACAATACTACTATGTGAAGTTTCTATAAGAAACACACTCCCACCCAGGCAGGCAGAGTAGCTCACACTTGTAATCCCAGCACTTCGGGAGGCTGAGGCGGGTGGATCACCTGAGGTCAGGAGTTCAAGACCAGCCTGATCAACATGGTGAAACCCCATCTCTACTAAAAATACAAAATTGGCCAGAAGTGGTGGTACATTCCTGTAGTCCCAGGTACTTGGGAGGCTGAGGCAGGAGAAATCACTTGAACCCGGGAGACTGAGGGTGCAAGAAGCTGAGATTGCGCCATTGCACTCTAGGCTGGGCAACAAGAGCAAAACTCTGTCTCAAAAAAAGAAAAAGAAAAAGAAACACACTCCTGCATCCCGCAGGATTTGTCTGCCTTCACTTGTACCTGAGATTTGTGGGTTTCCTGTAAATGATGGCTAGGCTGCATTTATAAGTGTGTAAGCAGAAGTTAAATGTACTAAAAGTGTGTCAACCACCCACAAAGTGTTTTCAGACAGCTCCCACAGGCTCTGGAAGCTGAGGGCTGATGCTGCAGAGCTGATGCCTTTGAGAACACAATTTAGGATGTTCTCTATCTAAAGGGGAGAGGGAGCTGCTTTCTTCAACTACAGTTTATGTTTTTAGAAACACTGATGAGTTCTTACATCTGCAAAGCTCTTGTTAAGAAATGATTTATTTTAAGTGCACTGCAGTGGGAGATACATGTAGACAGCAGGCTGCTTGAGCTTCACAGACATGCCTTGTAAAAAATGTAATGCTCAATGGCTTAGTAAATTCAACCAGGAAACACGAAGACTCTGAAGACTAAAATAACATGTGACATTCATGAAACTCACTGTGAGTCCACACATTGCAGCAGTGAGCGAGGATGGGCGCCGGCAGCCTGTCACTGTGTCTTCAAGGTTCTGTTTCCTACTTGGCTGACCTAGCTCTGGACAACAGGCTAAGACACAATCTTCTGGTCTCCCACTAATGCATGTGTTGGGGGAACCTCACTGAAGAGCCAACCACTGCCCAATATTCCTTGTTTCTCTCCCCCAGATTTAACTCAGCCATTTCTTTAGGCTACCACAGTGAATAAGAAGAAAGAAAGGCGAGTCCTTCTCTAGGAGGAGAGAACTGGACTGCTTGCTCCAGTCCCACTTCGGGGCTGTCCAATCCGCCTGCGTCCGTTCAGCAAGCTGAACCTCAGCTGCCCCGCCTATAAAATGGCTGGCAGAACCATGCTATGTACGTCATGAGGTTGTTGTGAAGATCAAATGAGATCATGTATGTGAGAAATATCTGGAGAACTACAAATCTCAGTATTCTGAGGTTTTATAAATTTCACGGATCCTGGTGAAGTAAGAACTGGCATGATGGCAATCAGGCGGAGAAGTGATTTCACTGTCTCTGTACTCTCCTCCCCATCACATCTCATTCTCTGCCCCCGCTCCACCCTGGGAGAGGACCCTGGGAAGCAGCAGAGGCTCCATCTCCCTGGAGTACCGTCAGCCAGCTGCATAGGATCAACAGGAGATCATGACCCGCCCAAGACTCGGCAGAGGGTTCTGTTCTGTCTTAGAACTTAGATGTAGTCCCATTTTATTCCTTTAACCTAATTAGGGCAAAAGAATTGCTAAAGTCAGTTCTGAAAGACACTCAACGGTGAGGCCTTGAAGGCCCTGGGCTTGACAATTGGCTGCCTCCATGAGACCTAGGAGTACAGATGGAAGGCAGCTTGCTCAGGTGCCAGCCTGTCAGTTGGATTAAAATGACTCATTTATTTACCCAAGAACCTCACAAAGTGCTTTTACTAACAGGGAGAGGGGGCCTGCCGTCTCTCTGAGAAGGGACGCAGCACACTCGCCTCTGACGCCTTCCCGGCCTGCCAAAAGTCATTATTGCCGTGTGTGGAAAGCCATCAGCAGGGTCCAGGCCCCCGTTGTCCGGGTGACAGATTGGGCTGCGTAATCAGAGGAGGAAGGAGAGAGTGCAGAAGCTGTCAGAGGCGAGAGATCTTGGCTGGAGCCGCCAAAAAACTGGCAACATGAGTTAGCGTAACTGAGTAAACAGCAAACAATCTCCAAATGATCCTTCCATTAACACAAACAAAATAAAATGAAAGAGATAAACTTTACCTAAAAAGCATACCCCAGAGAAAAGCATGAAAGTCCACATTTATTTGGGGCACAGAGCTGACATTCTGTGACTCTCACAGCCTTATCTCCTTTGTCTCCTACCCTCCTGGCACGGTGGAAATTTCCCAGGAGGAGAGGAAATTAAGAACTGCACAGACAGAACAGTACGCTTCAAGCGGAAAAAAAAAACTGCAAAGGTGGAGGCAAGCAGCACAGGTGATTTAGGTGCATCTTTCGAAAAAGAAAAGCATGCGCCCGAAAGCCGAGGAGGATGCTGAGGGACATTCGGCGCCCAGGGGGTCTGGAAGTGTCTTTCATTTCTGGGGAAAAGGTGACTGCGCTCTATCCAGGGACAACCAAGGAGAGCCACCCAGACCAACAGAAAACCTAGTGACAGCCTTAAAATCAGGTGGCTTGGAAACTCCATTTTCCGGTCATTCAGTGGTACTTGGTCAGCTCATCAACATCACGATGGCATTAAAAACCAGGTTCCTTTCCTCTGGCTTAGGGTGAGGTGTTCTCTATAAAGGCAGGAGGGAATAACATTTTGCAAATAATCCAGTGTCTGGTATCTGATCCCTTTGGTTGCTTAATTCCACTTGGGAAAGCGGGCTTTGAACTTCCAATGACTCCTTCCTGCTCATCCCGACTCCCTACTTAACTTGGCTTTTTCTTAGATCTTGTTTTCCAGAAGACACGGAAGTACACTGTGAATGTTGTGGGGACTCCTTGTCTTTCACAAGCTCAGCTCTTTTGCCCCAATCACCCTTTGCCTAGACTCCATCTTACCACAGTCACACCTGTGCTGAATAGCCACAGTACACAAAGCCATGTTATCAGGGCTTGAGAGCTGCATGAAATTAAAAAGCTCCCTGCTTCTAAGATGTCTATAATTAAAATGAAATAAATCACACACTTGCACCTTAACTGTTTCTAACAGGAAGGAAAGTGGGGTGGGGACTTTTTCACAGTAAAGGAAATAGCGTAACTGTGAACTTCTGTGTGAGCACACTGCTATTTCCAAATTTTCCTAAGGACATTCATTCTGGCCTTGTTAAAAGGATCTTGGGATGATAAATGAAAATGGCAAAAGGCATAGTACAAAGGGGGGAAAATCCCCACGTAACGATTAACAACACGATTCCTCTTTATCAAAAGAAGCCAGTTCTCCATCTGTCTCATCCTGAAGTGGCCCTCGTTCCTCATTAACACCAAGGAGGCTCCTGGAGAGCGTTCAGATAGCCTGGCAAGCAACAGGCTGCTTAAAAGAACGCAGAGTGGCAGCATCTCCCCAAACCCAGGCATGATCTATCACAGCGTGTGTCCCCCACGCGCCCTGCGGCTCTCAGATGCCAGAAGCGTCAGCTAGAGCAAACAAGCATGGCAGAAGGGGCAGGAGCACCGAGAGGAGGCGAAGAACTTCCCACGACTGGGAACCTGCACTCCTGTTCTGGCCCGACTATTGAGAGAAACGAGCCCCACCCAGCTCTTCTCCAGTCATCTTCACTACAGAGCAAAGATAGGCCACAGAAGATCAGCACGCTGGCGTGGCCTGGACTAGAAAATGAACAAAGACCAAGGCCTTTAGAGAAATCAGGCTGTGGGCAAGGGAGAGTTTTCATTACATGTGGCACCTGGCACTGGCAGGGTACAGAGGGCTGGGGGGGGTACTGTGCTTTGCCAAGACAATGACGTTCTTTGTCTAGCTGATACCACGTGCCTGTAGGTATCATCAGCCAGACAGAACAAGGAAAGTGATCGTACGTTTTGATCTCACTGAGAATTGTCTGAAATATCTGAGAAAGAATAATCTTCTTCCATGAAGAGCTACTAAAAATACAAGCAACTGAACTTCAGATACCTGGAGTTTTCTTTGGGGCTTATAGCTCGCCCGTGTCCGTAAAGTGTTCGCCTACTAGGAGACTCAACAATTTCCGACGGATAAATCCAGCATCCTATGGGTCAAAGACAAAATATTCTGTTCCTATCATAACCCAAACTCCACCACAAAGCTTCTTGCTGCTTTCTATTTCAATATTGACAGTCTAGAACATTCACTTCTCAGATGATACCAGACAAATGAAAAACTTATTCCCAATGAGTAAGTCTATTAATCTCTACCTCTCTGTCTTAAAAAAGACACACACCGGTAGCTCTCAACATCGAGTTTCTTGGGCCCCATCTATCGCCTCCAATTTGACCAGCAAAAATGCCAAGTGCCTACTGCGTTTGCCTGCCTGTTCTATGCTAGACACCGGGATAGAAATGCAAACAAATCTGTCCTTGTCTTCATGGCGCCGACGATCAGCTGGGAAGGCACCTAGGCCAGGTGGGATGAGCACTACGGTAAGAAATGCAGGGTGCACTCATGGGGAAGAACGAGGGCTCCTGGGTTTCATTTCTCTTAAGACATAAAATGTAAGCAGAGACCTAAGGGTGGTTTAGTCAAAACCATGATAGCGTTCCAGGCAGAGAGACTAGCCCGAACGAAGGCCCTGAAGCCAAAAGATACATTCAAGGTCTAAAAGGGAGGGCTGTTTTGCTGCAAGGTAAGGAGCAAGGCGGAGGAGGATGAAAAGAGATAAGAAGGGATCAGTTTCCACAAAGTATTGTTAGTTATAATAAGGATTTTTGAAAACTTTCTTTCTCCTGCTTTCTTCTTTTGAGACAAGGTCTCACTCTGTTGCTCAGGCTGGAAAGCAGTGGTGCAATCACAGCTCACTGTAGCTCGACCTTCTGGGCTCCAGTGATCCTCCCGTCTCAGCATCCTGAGTAGCTGGAACTACAGGCACATGCCACCATGCCTGGCTAATTTTTATTCTTTAATTTTTTTGTAGAGACAGGGTCTTGCTATATTGTTGCTCAGGCTGGTCGTGAACTCCTGGGCTCAAGTGATCCTCCCACCTTGGCCTCCCAAAGCGGTGGGACTGTAGGTGTGAGCCACTGCACCTGGCCCATCGAATTTCTTTATTAAGTAGATTATTTGGAATTAATCTTCACTACAGACCACACATAAAGATGGCTTTAGAACAGCTCAAGCATCTGACTCACGGATGGGCCTCATAAAGGGAAAGGGTTGGTCAGACACAGATCTCCTTAGGCAAGTATTGCATGGTTACAGCTCTCACATCTGAATGAGTGTCGGCAGAGCCACTGTTTGCCTCGCACACATGAGAACTGACACTGTGATAAGCAGGTTACCAACAAGCCCTCTTGCAGATGAGCACATGTATATATACACACAAGAAACCACGCTGCACTCATACAGAAACTCTACACTTAGACAGAAAAGTCTCCATGGCCTTTAAAACTGAATATGGAATACAAGTTCCTTAAAAAGTAATTGCATCAAATGTGGCCTAGTGGGCATTAGCTTAGTATCTTTCTTTCTATCCAGCACCTGTTCACTGGATTTACTGTATTTATAGTACAATTTCATTACTGTATATGTAGGGACTTCTCCAATAACCAGTTGGGGATTAAGTTACATCATCCAAGATGGCACAGAGAAGGCATTTTAATCTTTGGAGGCAGCAACAGCTATGGTATAGTGAATCCCCAGAGCGGGGGAACAGTGAAGGTGTGAGTTTTTAATCTCAAAAGAGCACAAGAGGTGTGAGTTAAAAAGGTCAGTGCTGTGCTGGAGAAGGCAGCTACCCAAGACTGCAAACCCTGAGGCTGAGGAAGCTGGCCCTGAAATCACAGGGCAAATGATAGTCTGACACAACAGCAAATAAGATCGGCCCAAACGCACCGGTTTTCCTTTAAGAAAAGGTGAGCAGAGGCAAGCAGAATCATTTTGTTGTGGAAAGACTTTCTCAGCTCTAATTACTCCCGATAGCTGTAATTTACAAGTTTTTGGTAGCTAGAAATCTCCAAGATTCACACATATTCAGACCAACAGCTGCCACTATTAGTGAGCAAATTGCCAAGTCTTCTGCGCAGTGGTGGCTGGTTATCTGTGGCTCCATCAGGTGACAAGAAAGAAGTGCAAAGAGGCCAGCCCCACTATGGGGCCCTTCGTGTTCCTGGGCCCTGTAGGGCTGACCACAGGACAGACAGGAGACAAAAAATTACAGCCAATACAGAAATGTATCCGCCTTCACATGGAAGACAGGATGATACGTACCGTGCAAAGAAGGACGCCTCTTCTGGAATGTGAAAATTCCTGAAACGCTGCTGTTCTTTCCTACAAAAACGAGGAAAAATTGGGCCTTACAACTCAGAGACAAACTCCAGCAAGGTAGGCTTAGATCTCCCTAGCTCTCCCCATCTCCTACTGCTAGAGCTGTTTTCAGGCACAGAGAGGTTTGCCAGGCAAGAGGAAGAAGTGGATTCTTTCTATCTTCTAAGATGACCCTGTACTTACAGGACCAGACTTGAGGCTACAAGGAGGAACTTTGAGGGTGCACATTTCTGTGAGACAGTACTAGGATAGGCACACTTTCCAGGAATGGCCAAATATAAGAACAGGAAGGCACAAGTTACTACATGGAAGGTTCCAAACCTGTGTGCAATTTATTCTAAACTTTCTCCTACAAGTGCTCTGAAGAAATCAAGAATAACCAGTCTTCTCTACAGGCAATTTTTTAAAAGATTAGATATTCATAAAACTATGTATTTTAATTGTAGAAAAACTATATTTATGTTAAAGGAAGAAAATAAAATATCACTCAAGGCAAACCACCACTACCACTAGGGACACCTTGATGTTTCCCAAGTCCCCCTTTTGTGCTAACATAACTAAATATTCAGCTTTCCAAAAAAATGGTACCCACTGCTTATACTGTTAACATGCTCTTATACACCAACAGAATATGAACATCTCTTCATGCCAGCAAGTATCCAAAGACCACATCATCTCTCATGGTGAAATAGTTTTCAGCTAAATGGATGTACCATTATTTATGTGACCAACGTTGTATTACTGGCAATTAAGGTTATCTCTGATTTTGTGTGTGTGTGTGTGTGTGACAGGGTCTCACTTTGTCACCCAGGCTCACTGTACAATCTCAGCTTACTGTAACCTCCACCTCCCAGGCTCAAGTGATCCTCCCACTTCGGCCTCCTGAGTAATGGGGACTACAGGCATGCACCACTATGCCTGGCTAATTTTTGTATTTTCTGTAGAGATGAGGTTTTGCCATGTTGCCCAGGTTGGTCTTGAACTCCTGAGCTCAAGCAACTCACCAGCGTCAGCCTGCCAAAGTGCTGGGATTACAGGCGTGAGCCACCATGCCCTGCTGATATTTTAATGTTGCAATCAATGCTGTGATAAACACCTCTGTAAATAAGTCACTGCGAACATTCTTAAGTACTCCCTTAGGTTAAATTCCTAGAAACACACTTGCTGAACCAAAAGGTGCGCATCCTAGAATGCTTTCAGTGGGAGCCTGCAAGCGCGCATTCAGTCATGACACCTCTGTGTGCTTGAGGGTTGGTTACATTTACTTGTCGGCAACAAATACAAAGAAAGAGAACCAAGCTACTCGCAATCTGGAAAAGGTCAAAGTCTCTGCTGCTTTGGTACAGTCACCATGCGCTGTGGCATGTCTTTCTGGTCTTTCATGTGCATAGATTTTGTCCATAGTACACTGGATAAAGACATACCAACAACAGACATTCATCAAGTGCTCACCATGTACCAGGCCCTGGCATAAGCACCTTACACATCTGAACTCTAATCCTCACAACATCCCCATGTGCAGGTACTATCATCACTCTCATTTTCCAGAAGAAAAAAACTGAGGCACAGATGGGTTAAGGAACTTGCCCAAAGGACATGCACCCATGGTAAAGGGCCGGAATGATACTGAACGCAGGGAGTTGCTCAGACCCTCAAAAGGACAGATATATTCATTCAGTCCGCTGCATGGTCTTCATAAGGATCATTTTTAATGGCTACATCGTAGAATCAAAATCAGAAAAAAATCAAGAAAGTTCATAAAAGCTTATGAAATACCTTGAAGACCAGATATGATATATTCGGATTTAGGGTAAGAAAAAAAGCCTACCAAACCCTTGGACTTTCATCATGGCTACCGCGCAGACAGTAACTTCTATCCAACGCTCATCAACTTATGCAGAACCGTGTCAACTAACGAAGGAGACCATTCCAAGGCCATGTAGGATAGTGGCCAGGAAGATGTAAGTGGGACTGTTTCAGCTTAGTCTAGAATAAAAAACTTACCCCGATACTTACAAAATAAAACACAGGGATACTATACCTCCTGTCTTCCACTGCAAACGCTAAATACTTAATAAACAGACAGCATCAAATAAAACAATTTTAAACTATAAAAAAAGAACTTTTCCTGAAGGACAGAGAACAATAGGACTGATGGCGCCTAACATTTACTGAGCACTCACTGTGTGCTGTGTACAGAGCTCTGTCTGCATTAATTCAGTCAACCCTAAAGGAAGTACAGTTATCATCCCCATTTTAGAGACATGGAAACTGAGTCACAGAGAGGTTAAATAGTTACCTGAGATTCTACAGCCAGCAAATGACAGCAGGACAAGAGCACAAGCAGTGTGCCCCAGAGGGCACAGCAACAAACAGCATGCTAGACTACTCCCGTTACAATGTGAGATGAACATTATACTCTGTATAATGAAGCTATAGACTTGTGTGATGTATTACAGCAAATCCCTAGACCTTTCTGAGTCCACACCCAGCTTCCCACATCACCCTTGGATCGACGCTGCAGAACACCTCTAGTAAAAACAGACCCACAGAATTAGTAACAAAGCTTAAAACGAAAACAGAACACAAAACCATGAATGGTATTAAAAAAACAAAATCAACAAGCCTGATTCAATCAGAGGTCTGAAGGTAAAAACCCAGAGTTTACCTAATGCGCAAGGGCTGGAATATTCAGGAATTTCTATATCACCTTGTGGCAAACAACCTGTGTCCTTGAGTGACCTTGAGCAGGTTTGCTTTTCTGGGCCTCCATTTACTTCATTATTCAAATAAAAGAGCAAAAGCAAAGAGGGGCTGGACTTATTGAGGAAGATGTCAAAGCTCTAACGTCCCTTCAGCTCTAGAAGCGTTACGGTCTTTTAAGCTGGCTCAAGTCAAATCTCATTCTGATTTCCAGTTTTCGTTCTCACTTTCTAATTTTCTTTCTTTCTTTCTTTTTATTTATTTTTTTTTTTGTGACGGAGTTTCGCTCTTGTTACCCAGGCTGGAGCGCAATGGCGCGATCTCGGCTCACCGCAACCTCCGTCTCCTGGGTTCAGGCAACTCTCCTGCCTCCGCCTCCTGAGTAGCTGGGATTACAGGCACGTGCCACCATGCCCAGCTAATGTTTTGTATTTTTAGTAGAGACGGGGTTTCACCATGTTGACCAGGATGGTCTCGATCTCTTGACCTCGTGATCCACCCGCCTCGGCCTCCCAAAGTGCTGGGATTACAGGCTTGAGCCACCGCGCCCGGCTCTCACTTTCTAATTTTCAAAGCTGCCTGGTAACCTCTCCTCTAGGTCAAAATGGCTCCTCTTTCCGAGTGTCGCTTGTCCTTTCTTTCCCCATTCCAGTGAGCAAATCTCACTCCCACACTCCACCCCGACTCCCTAACCAACAGGCCAGTTAAGAGCGGAGGAATGCGGCTCACACAACCAAGTCCCTAAAATCGGGGAAATGTTGTACTCTTCTTCCTGAACGGAAATCTCACTCTGTGCCGAGAAAGAACTGGGAGCCCGAAGCCCCTTTGGTTCACAGTACCCTCTCCCAACCAAAAGTGTTCAGAGTGCAGCGCTGCGTCTTGTTGACAATGACAGCAGCCGTGCTCAGCAGTACCATATGGGATCCACAATTTAGCTCCATTAATGCTCTTAATTTGAAGACATCAAGCCCTAATTACACACTGGGTACTAAAAAGGCAAAACCCTTCCCTGGTGCCAGCTACTTAGTGGTACTCTGTTGCCTTAACAGCTGGTTGAGGTAGACTCAGGCCAAGTCGGGGCCTGTGAGCTCTCTCGGGTGGAAGAGAACAGCTCCTGGAGCAAAAGCAAATGAGAACAATAGACTGCCCTAGCCCACATCAATCCTGCAGGGTGATCCCCTCGAGTTCCAGTGGGTCACCCATTTTCGTCTAATTTTTGACTTGCCCAGTGGAATGTGCAGGGGTCGTAGCCATTGCTGAGCCTAAAGAACGGGTTTGCCGGACTCAGGTTTGTCCCCATCTCCCCTTGGGGCCACGTCACCCCACAGGGAGATCTGTGCTCACCTCCTGCTCCATGTTGCCATGCAGTCGTAGGAATTTTAATCGCGTGGAGGCAGATGGCAACTGCCCTGATGCCGGGGCCCCTGAGCTGCTCAGCAGGGTCTGCAGGAAGAGGCTGTAGTGGAACTCCACCAGCTCGCAACTTGAGAAAAAGACAACCATCTTTTGGTCTTTCTCAAACTACATCAACACAAAGGGAGAAAAAACCCACATGTGTTAAGATTAGGTGACATTAAAACGAGTATTTCTCTAAACTACACGGTCATACTGACCCCTACTTGGAAACAAAGCTGACTACCTTTGACTTATTAAAAAAAAAAAAAAACAACAACAAAAAACAGCGATACTCTACAAAGAATGCAGGAGAGGAAAATGACACAGCGATCATTTCCAACAGCTCTTCCTTAACCGACAAAAATAAACACACTTTGGAGCGTAGCTATGCGGAGCTGCATTCCTTTCACGCACCCAGGGCTTGCCACACGCAACACGACCTGGCTGAGACCGCACATATGCAGAATATCCTGAAGCGTCACCCTTCAGCCCTTCCACTCACTATTTTCCCACATCTCAGAGAAAGTTACCACAGAAATCTAGTAAATAAATACACAAATGCCAGGATTCTTGGAGAAACATGAGCACGAGCCCCTAGGTCTGCCTCACATCCAGCTGTTCCCACCACCTGTGATGTTCCTAATGTCACAGGAGAGACACAGAGGACAGATTTCAAGCTGAGCATCGTGGCTATTACTCACCTCTGATTCTTTACCATAACCCTAAAACCTGACTGAAAGGACGTACATCAAAGTCCACCTCCGGAACACGGAGAGAAATTGGAAAACCTTCTCTGATTCCTGGTATCTCAACTCACTGCTACCTTTGCTTAACACAAGAAAGCAGCCTTTCTTCCCTGGATCAAGTCGGCTCTACCCATAGGCCTACCTTGCATTTCTGAAGGATGAAGGCCGCTAGGCAGACAAGCCTCAGTTTGCTGGGAACCACAGTCACGTGCTGCTCGAGACTCTCTGGTATCGCAAAGCTGTCCAGCTCATCACCAGCTGGTGGAGGACAGACCTCCTGGACCACTTTGTCCTTTGGGTTCAACTGGTCATGGCTCTCGTCCAGGACAGAAATACTGACTGGATCATGCAAGCTGATATCAGCCAGCCGCGTTACACCTTGCATAAAATGAGAAGGGCAAAGCGGATGGCAAACACACCGTAAAACTGGTCACAAAGCGTGCGGCCCCCACGGCAGCCACCCATGTATGTTAGGAAAGTCCCCATGGGTATCATCAAGTCCCAGCACTGATCTGCCCTAGTGCCAATGTGTGTGTAGCACTAGGGCAGAGATCTACCAATTTCTCTCCACAGCCTACCAACCAACCCACACTAACATTCCACAAACACTCACCTATAGAACAGCATCCACAGAATAGCAACAGATACTGTGCCCATCCCCACCTCCCATAATGGTTCTTTGGTCAAGTAAGTTATGGCAAACCTTGGATTTCAAAGGTTTCACAAAAGCTTCTTTGCTATAAGCAGCACTCTCAGGACCTTTATTGTGTTAATGTGCCCTGAAAATATCCAAGTGGGGGAATGTGGGGCATTTCTCAAACTTTTTTGACTACAGAATCCCTTTTTGATGAGCTATCCCTCCAAATTAATGTTACTTAGAACATGGAGAACAGTGAGGGGCCACATGAACGGCATCTGGCACAGGCACTTTGCAATGTGGCCTAGTAAACCAAGGAAACCAGACACGAGAGCATGAGCACTGCACTGCTGCTCAGACAACGACTCACTGTGTGGGGTGACTCTGGTGAAGTGATGCAACTTTTCTAAGCCTACGTGTTCCCAATTACAAAAGAGGGCTAAGAATTTCCATCTCATATGGATGGAAGACAGAGATGAGCTTCTTCAATAACATCTTTTTTAAGTTCAATAGCTCTTTAGGAGGAAGAATGATTACATAAAAAATGCACTCAGATAAGACGCCACCATCTTCAGTGCAAGGGCCCTGCTCTCTGTGGGCTGCAAGCACAAAAAAAAAAAAAAAAAAACCCCATGAAAAACGGATGCGTGGACGCTGGGAGTGCAGAACAGAGAGTTGCAGAGTCAGTCTTCGAAGGACGTCTCTCTCCCCGCCCCCACCTCCCCGAGGTTGAGAATCGCTGCAATAAACAACCGGGATTCAATCCAGGTCCCTCCTCTTCATTAAGAACAAAGAAGGTCCTATCAGCTCTTTTCAACTCACCTTCTGTGAGTGTCGCTGATAGCAAGACATTCTGTCGTTTTTGGCATTCAGCATTTACAGCATTAAGTATCACTGTGATGTCCTTTTCAAAACCCAAATCCAGGATTCTGTGGTTGTAAGAAAAGAAATTTTTATCTCTAGGAAGAGCAAATGTGGTCTAAAGGGCTAGAGAAGTCGCAACAAGGAGAGCGGAAAAACAGCCCTTCTCTTCCACCTGTCATCATCCCGGGACGAGGCTCACCTGTCTGCTTCATCAAACACCAACCACCGCAGCCGACTAAAATGAATGTTCTTTGTGGATTTTATGTGATCCACAAGACGTCCAGGAGTTGAGATAAGGATATTTATTCCTTTGCGGAGTCTGTTTAAAATTATATATCATAAAAGGAAGTAAATCAAACAAGGCTACACCAATAGAAAACACATGAAAAAGGCAAAGGAGGCAGACTCATCTCATGCACAGTGCAAACATGCCACAGCCTGAAATCATGAAAAACAGAATGACAACTGGGTGGAAAGCTGTGCTCGAGCCTTTCCCTCTATTGTGAAATGCAACTGTTAAGATCTGAAATTACATTAAAATCACAAAACCTTAACTTTGAAAGGAATCATAACTACATAAGCCAGTGCTGTTTATCTGATTCATAAATCCTTTCTAGAACCTTCCAAAGAGATTGTCATCTAGCCTGTTCTTGAAGGTTTCTGTGCCAGGGAATCTATCATCTGAGCAAGTTACCCCATGCCAATGTGCTCCCATTGCTAGGACACTTTTTTCTTATGCTAAACCCTTCATGTAACTTCCATACAATGGGGCTCAGCTTTGTCCCATGGGTTATATACAATAAGTCTAATTTCTCATTCCCCAAACAACTATTTTCCCATTATCCACAGTAATAAAAGCCTCCAATTTTTAACACATTTTTTTTTCTTTGTAGAGACGGAGGTCTTGCTATGTTGCCCAGGCTGGTCTCAAACTCCTGGTCTTAAGTCATCCTCCTGTCTTGGCCTCCCAAAGGGTTGGGATCACAGGCATGAGCCACTGCACCCAGCCTAGCTGGGGATATTTTCCAGCTTCCCTTGCAGTTAAGTATAGTCATGTTTCTGTTTTAGCAATGGGATAAATGGGTAAAGGGAACATGTCAATCACACAAGCACCTTCAGAGGGAGCAGGTATGATCATCTCTGTATCTGCTGGCAGGAAATTAGATGCAATGGTTGGAGTGCCTGCGACTATCTACGACTATGAGGTAATCTTAAAAATGGAATCCTTCCATAGTGGCACAAAAAGACAGAAAGAGCTAGCTTGAGCCCTGACACTGGAGCACCAGGCCAGCCTTGGACTGGCTCCATCGGATTTCTTAAACGTGAAAGAAAAATAAAACTTGTATTTGTGTTTGTGCCACCGTTATTTGTTATTATGGTTATTATTTACAGCTGAGTTGAACCCTAACCAATGCTTTGAGGCTTTAGGCTTCATATTTACTCCTCAGTTATAGGCTACATACATCATTATTGAGCACTAATTATTAAGCTCTAACACAATAAAAATATTTTCAGAAGAATGAAGCAATTTGCGATTTACTTGTTGCATCAGTTTTCAACCAACACCCACTGCAAATCCTGATAAAGAAAGGAATGAACGTATTTGATCGTAAAAAGCGAGTTGCAAAGCATTACATAAGTTCATGGTCTTGTTTTTGTAAAAGCGAACAACGAAACCCCAAACTCTCAATGTACATAAAAGTGAGTCACACCCAGGTGGGTGTATACTAAACCAGGGAGGCTGTCGGGCATCTGGGAGGTGGGAGGTAAGAAGGTGACAGCACTGTTACTAGCAACATCAGAAGGAAGCCTGTTTGTAGTTTAATATTTTAAAAAAACAGCACCGTCTAGAGGTGACCGCTCCCCACTGACTCAATCTGTCCCTGTGCACCGGGAGTAGGAAGCAGAGCCTGAGACAAAGCCCTCAGCAGGGTTAGAAGGACCCAGCCTTACCGAATAGGAAGGCAGGACAAAGAGATTCAAGAAGGAAATAACCAACAAACCTCTCCCTACCTGGCCTTTTCTGATTTTCTCTTCTCTCCACCCATTAACACTCCAGGCACAATCCAGGTGAATGGCTACAGAAAGACAGCAGACCACAGTCAATGCAAAGCCCCCTTTACTAACATACGACACTGATTCCAAATTCCCTTTCCTTAAAAAAGCATGACAAAGAACTGAAGCTTCCCACTGTAGAAGGTGTAATTGTGCAGACACAATCCCCAGGCGTTGCCACACCCATGTTCACTATCAGCATTAACTTGAATTACAGGTCTACAACCAGCTTCTACCACAGTAAGAAAGAAATGTGAGCTTCTTAAATCATTCAAGTAGCTTCCCTGTCTTTCCCCACAGAGCCTGAATTGAAAACTAATTTCGGCAATTCTATTGCCTTTTTGGGGGTTAAGATAAAACCCACGCAACACCCTTCCCTACTCTCCACCCCGAATAAAAGGAAGGATGGATCAATTCATGATGTAATTTGGTGAGCTGGCAGGCTTTGACTCTGCAACCTTCACTCTCCTTTCTTAAACAAACCCTGCTTGCAGCTTTCTAAGTTGCTTTCCACTGGACTGCCATCAGGTTGTATCTGTGAATTTCCGTATGTGGCTTGCTAGTGACTATGATGAACGAATTACAGGACTTTATGCACCAGGAATCACTGAGAATCCAGCTAAGCTAGAAATTGGCAGCTTTAGATCAGTAAAAACCTATAAACTACCTAGTGAAAGCCGACATATCCAGGCAAAAGGAAATGATTCTTATCTCTTTGAAAATAAAGAATAAACTGGTACCTTAAATCCTTCCTCAAAGTCAGAAAACAACATAAAATGCTCATGGTTTGCCTTACCTTAAGCAGTTTCTGGACTGTGTCAAAGCTTTGTAGAGCCAGCTGCAAAAATTTTAAAAGTTAGAGATGATGAACAAGATCCCTTTTTACCTTTTTTTTTTTTTTTAAGACAATGTAATGTGATTAGGATCCAAACTTGGACCTCAAGTTAAGATTTAAGAAGAAAAAAAATTCTACACACAGAATCTACTCTGAAAATACACCTTGTTCTTAGGCTGGTTCTGCAACCTGTCAGTTTGGGAAAAGAGGGTAAAGACACCACGTCTAAACCTTGGAAATACACAAAAATAGTGTTTTGTGCTCCCTCTGCTGGCTCAAATTCCCAGAGTGCCACACAGAGAAGTTCAAGTCTGCGGTGCACAAAAATGTAAGGGGATGAAACAAAGTGACCTGAATTTGACTCTCCTTAGGAAGAGAAAGAATACTGTATGTACACAGGGTATACCAGAATAGTGGTTCAAAATGCTAGCCTCTGGGAACTTCACTCAAAGGTGCAAGGACCGTATTCTACAACTGTGCCAGGGTATCTGAAGACTGGGAGATGGTCACTCCTCAACTTTTTAATCAATAAAACAAAAGCAAACCAACAAGTCCATTAGAGAACAAAACAAGTGAAAACTAAAGTCGGCTACAACTATTGACGACCTTCAATGCCTCATACAGAATCTCGTTCTCAAAGGATGAATATACAGTTTCCACATATTTAGTATTCATGAAACATCCTAGAGATGTAGCAACTTTGCTGCTATAAAAATTTTAATAGCTTCTGTGCCTGCTCCTTCACTGGACTGAGCTGAGACAGGGCACTGCAGGCTGTATAAAAGGCTGACTTCAAATCTCCATCTCTGTGATCAATTCTCTGTAAGGAAATGATTAGCATTTGATATAGAAACCAGATACCCTAATCTGAAGTTGTCTCCATAGGCAAATAAAATAGATCAGATGGAAGAGATTTCCACCAAGAAAGAAGAAAAATATTGAAAAGTTAAAGTTTTTTTTTTTTTTGTAGCAGTAGCTTCTTAAAAAAAATAAAGGTTCATTTTCACAGCCAACTGCTTTTGGTTTTGAATTCAGTTGAAAATTTTTCCTTTTTTTAGCAACTGAACTCAAAACACTATTAAACTGACATTTAATAGTGTCATCAGTTTTTAGACAATAAGAAAATACTTTTTCATACTTATGATTCTCAGAGACTACTTGAATTTTTCTCCTTGACAAGAACCAGAGGATGGTTTCCAGGCAAATGGACCTGGTGTGCAGTGGTTTGTGTAGTAGGAAGAAAAATTCAACAGGACATCGGTGAAAACAGGTGCTTAAAACATGCCCTGAAAGGGAGCCTGCTTACCTCTCTCGTTGGCACAAGCACCAAGACATAGGGGCCATCACTGCGCTGTTGACACAAAGAAAAGAAATGCCATGAGCAGGGTAAACAAAGGCAGTCTCCAAATGGACAGGACACAGGGGTAGCTGCTTGTAGAACATCAGAAGCAATCTCAGCAAAGAAAGGGACAAGATAAGGATGCCCACTGATGTGGTTTGACTGTGCCTCCACCCAAATCTCAACTTGAATTGTATCTCTCGGAATTCCCACATATTGTGGGAGGGACCCGAGGGGAGGTAACTGAATCATGGGGGCCAGTCTTTCCCGCTTTTCTTATGATTAAGTCTCACAAGATCTGATGGGTTTATCAGGGGTTTCTGCTTTTGCTTCTTCCTCATTCTCTCTTGCTGCCACCGTATAAGACATGCCTTTCGCCCTGTGCCATGATTATGAGACCTTCCCAGCCATGTGGAACTGTAAGTCAAATTAAACCTCCTTTTCTTTCCAGTCTTGGGTATGTTTTTATCAGCAGCATAAAAATAGACTAATATACCCACTAACCCCATCATTCTAGAATACTGTTCTAGAGGTCCTGGCCCATACAATCAGACAAGAGAAAAAAATATGATATATAGAATTAGAAAGTAGGAGACAAAATTAGAAAGAAAAAAAAAACCCACAAGAGAATTAACTAAAAATCTATTACAAACAAGATAATTTGTCAAGTAGCTGAGTGCAAAACTAATATATAAAAATCAATAGCCGGCAAGGCACACTGATTCATGCCTGTAATTCCACCACTTTGGGAGGCTGAGGCAGGTGGATCACCTGGGGTCAGGAGTTTGAGACCAGCCTGGCCAACATGGTAAAAACCTCTCTACTAAAAATACAAAAATTAGCTGGGCACGGTGGCAGGTACCTGTAATCTCAGCTATTTGGAAGGCTGAGGCATGAGAATCACTTGAACCGGGAGGCGCAGGTTGCAATGAGCCAAGATTGCACCATTACACTCCGGCCTGAGCAACAAGAAAAAAACTCCTTCTTAAAAAAAAAAAAAAAAAAAAAAAAAAAAAATAGCCTTCCAAAATAAAAAGTTTAAAAGTACAATGAAAGGAAAAAATATCATACTTATAATAGCAATAAAAAAGATAAAAATAAGCTTAGCAAAAAAATACACAAAATCTATATGAAGAGAATTTTAAAACACTTCTGAGGGGCATAAAGTAAATTTTGAATAAACGAAAAGATACATCATCCTATTTCTGGAAAAGAAGATGCAATAGTACATACATATAAGCTAATTCTCTCTAAATCACTTATAAATGTAATTCTAACAAAAATGCCACAAATATGTGTATATATAAAATAACATAAATAACCAGACAACCTGATTTGAAAGTTCATATGGAAAAATAAATGTACAAAAACAACCAAGACATTTATGAAAAATGTATCAGATGTTAAAATAATTTAAAGCTACACAATTACAAATAATGATACTGGCACAGGAGCAGAGATTGTAACAGCAAAGAAAGTTGAAAATAGAATCAAATAGATACCAAAGTTTAGAAAATAAGGGTCATTTTATATCAGCAAGAAAAAGATGGTTTAATTCCAAAGTCCTGTGAGAAAAAAATAAAGGTAGGAAAACAAAGCTGGAATTAAGCTGTCCCTTTAACAGATGACATAAAACTCAGAAATCCTAAAAGAAAACACCAATAAGTTTTATTACCTAAAATTTTTAAATTTCATAATGGAAAAATGATACCTAAACAAAACCAAGGGTCAAATGATAACCCAGGAGGAAAATATGCCACAACTGAGAGAAAGCTAATTTCCTTAATTTATGCATTTTTAAAAGCCCTGGTTTTTTGTTTTTTTTTTTTTTTTTTTTGAGACAGAGTCTTGCTTTGTTGCCAGGCTGGAGGGCAGTGGTACAATCTCGGCTCACTGCAACCTCTACCTGCTGGGTTCAAGTGATTCTCCCGCCCCAGCCTCCCAAGTAGCTGGGACTACAGGTACACACCACAACGCTCGGCTAATTTTTGTATTTTTAGTAGAGACCAGGTTTCACCATATTAGCCAGGCTGGTCTTGAACTTCTGACCTCAAGTGATCCACCCACCTCGGCCTCCCAAAGTGCTGGGACTACAGGCATGAGCCACCACACCCAGTCCTTTATTCATTTTTGTATTTGAATTGGGTTTGTTTTTTTGAGATGAAGTCTTGCTCTATCACCCAGGCTGGAGTGCAATGGCCTGATCTCGGCTCACTGCAACCTTCGCCTCCTGGGTTCAAGCGATTCTCCTGTCTTGGCCTCCCTCGTAATAAGATTACAGGCGTGTGCCACCACACCTGGCTAATTTTTTTGTATTTTTGTAGAGACAGGTTTCACCATGTTGGTCAGGCTGGTCTCGAACTCCTGACCTCACGTGACCCACCTGCCTGGGCCTCCCAAAGTGTTGGGATTACAGGCGTGAGCCACTGCACTCAACCTCTTCTTCCTTTTTCCTCCCTTCCATACACCCAAGTATGGTGGCACACGCCTGTAATCCCAGCTACTTGGGAGGCTGAGGCAGGAAAATCACTTGAACCCGAGAGGCAGCAGTTTCAGTGAGTTGATATCATGCCATTGCACTCTGGCCTCGGCAACACAGAAAGACTCCATCTCAAAAAAAAAAAAAAGAAGAAGAAGAAACCGAATGCAGCTGAGAGCACTGGGAGGGCATGGGGAAACGGGACCTTCTCCACCGCTGCGGAAGTGCACACTGGCATATTCCCTTTCAAGTTTAATTTTGGCATAATTATCTACTAAAATAAAAATGCAAATTCCACTTACAGAAATTTCTCCTACAGAGCATATATATGCGTAATGAGGTTGTGGAATATTTTCAGACTGTAGAGTATTTACAGTGGCTGGTGTGTAGCAAAATACTGAACATAATGTAAATTCCACCAACCAATATGAAAAGGAATCAGTAATTCACAGTACATACATACAATGAAATGCTAGGCAGTCATCAAAAAGAACAAGGCAACCCAGTATGGTGCTAATTAAGGAGCTCCAAACACATCAAAAGAACTAAAGCAAGGCACAGAACATCCTGCTTAACAAAGCAACTACACGTGTATCAAACCGAGCCAAACAGAGAAACAAACAAAAAAAACTTCACAAAGTGGTAAGAGGAATTATGCACACTCATGTTTGCTTGATATGCACAGAATTTCCCTGGCAGGATATACAAGAGACTGGTAATAACCACCATGGCATCTTGAGAAGCAAACTGTGCCACTAGGGGAAAGTGGGACTAGAACAACTTTACTTGTCACTATATATATTTTTAGCACTCTTTGACATTTTTAAAACATATATGGTGCATCATATCTAAAAAGCCTTCATAAAAAAAAGAAACCAAAGTAGTCTGAAAAAAGCCTCTAAGCCAATAGTGCCTTTCACATTAAAAGTGCTTAAAGACACCGAATGAATGAATCAAAACAACGTTAGTGCCAAAGCTAAGCCCAGAGTTAACAGCAAATTCAATTACGAGTATGGTTTTCGTGTTTTGCATGAAACATTTACCCATTAAGAAGAAAAGGATTTGGAATTCAAACCAGAGCCGTCTGTACTCAACATCGACTTTGAGACTACACTGAACGCAAGCCAGGAATGGTAAATATGCTAGTACAACAGAAGCAATGTGCCACTGCGTGACGTTAGGAGATTCTGACATTTCAAAAGGTGTTTCTACATAGAGAAGAAGAAAGAAGAATCAATTCCTCACAGGGCACAAGTAAGTAAGGGAGGATGGATACGATGTTAAAAAAAAAAAAAAAAAAAAAAAAGAAGCAAAAAAAAAAAAAAAAAAATCAGAGCCAAAATAACTGAACAGTGCGAACAAAGAAAAACAGTCCATTCTCATGCTATCACCAAAGTAATTTAAGAATCTGTTGGGTGCCTTCAATTTGCTGTGCCCTCCAGATAAGTTTTTTACAGGTCAAATCATTTTACAAGGAACTCCAAGGGACTATATTGAGTATTACTTGATATAAGTGAATTAAATTGAGGTTTAGAAAACAGTGTTTCCACAGAATATTCCAGTCTTCAACAGAATGACCTATTCGTGATTTTTAAAAAAATACTGCAGCAAATAAAAAATGACATGGCTTATCAATGGTTCTGAATATAACCAATAAAATCATTGCCACTCCACGTAGCCACATGACCATGCTGCTGATGATGGCCAAAGCATGATGTCACCAGGCGCTGGATGTCGGGTCTCAACACTGCACATGCATTAGTTCAACCTTGATCCCAGCCCTTGGAGACAGGCACTGCTACTGTCCCTGTGCCACAGACAAAGACACTGAGGCACAGAGGATGCAACAATTTGCTTGAAGTTACCCTGAGACCCAGGAGCAAGCAAAGCTGCCCACCACGCCATCCCCCCGACGTGTATGTCATCAAATCTCTCTCATCCTGCAGTCAAGGATCTATGAAATCAGGGTTGGGCTAGAACTGTATAAGCCATTCCAGTTCAAATAGTCCAAATTCTCCAAGCAGTATAAAGAAAAAACTCTCCACTGGCAAGATGTTCTCCTGGAGTATATAAGTAGATGAGACTCTGCTACATGATTACAGAAAATTTACATTTATTATTCTCTATGTGCCAGGGTCAATGCTTCACACAAATTCAAGTAACAAGGCAAGAATATTTGCTCAATTTCACAAATAGTAATTGAAAAAATATCATTTTTTTAATGGCTACAATGAGTTCCATCTGTGGATGATTTTGTAGGATTTCTTTAACCAATTAAAAATAATTCTTAGCCGGGCGCGGTGGCTCAAGCCTGTAATCCCAGCACTTTGGGAGGCCGAGGCGGGTGGATCACGAGGTCAAGAGATCGAGACCATCCTCCTGGTCAACATGGTGAAACCCCGTCTCTACTAAAACTACAAAAAATTAGCTGGGCATGGTGGCACGTGCCTGTAATCCCAGCGACTCAGGANTACTTGGGAGGCTGAGGCAGGAAAATCACTTGAACCCGAGAGGCAGCAGTTTCAGTGAGTTGATATCATGCCATTGCACTCTGGCCTCGGCAACACAGAAAGACTCCATCTCAAAAAAAAAAAAAAGAAGAAGAAGAAACCGAATGCAGCTGAGAGCACTGGGAGGGCATGGGGAAACGGGACCTTCTCCACCGCTGCGGAAGTGCACACTGGCATATTCCCTTTCAAGTTTAATTTTGGCATAATTATCTACTAAAATAAAAATGCAAATTCCACTTACAGAAATTTCTCCTACAGAGCATATATATGCGTAATGAGGTTGTGGAATATTTTCAGACTGTAGAGTATTTACAGTGGCTGGTGTGTAGCAAAATACTGAACATAATGTAAATTCCACCAACCAATATAAGAAGGAATCAGTAATTCACAGTACATACATACAATGAAATGCTAGGCAGTCATCAAAAAGAACAAGGCAACCCAGTATGGTGCTAATTAAGGAGCTCCAAACACATCAAAAGAACCAAAGCAAGGCACAGAACATCCTGCTTAACAAAGCAACTACACGTGTATCAAACCGAGCCAAACAGAGAAACAAACAAAAAAAACTTCACAAAGTGGTAAGAGGAATTATGCACACTCATGTTTGCTTGATATGCACAGAATTTCCCTGGCAGGATATACAAGAGACTGGTAATAACCACCATGGCATCTTGAGAAGCAAACTGTGCCACTAGGGGAAAGTGGGACTAGAACAACTTTACTTGTCACTATATATATTTTTAGCACTCTTTGACATTTTTAAAACATATATGGTGCATCATATCTAAAAAGCCTTCATAAAAAAAAGAAACCAAAGTAGTCTGAAAAAAGCCTCTAAGCCAATAGTGCCTTTCACATTAAAAGTGCTTAAAGACACCGAATGAATGAATCAAAACAACGTTAGTGCCAAAGCTAAGCCCAGAGTTAACAGCAAATTCAATTACGAGTATGGTTTTCGTGTTTTGCATGAAACATTTACCCATTAAGAAGAAAAGGATTTGGAATTCAAACCAGAGCCGTCTGTACTCAACATCGACTTTGAGACTACACTGAACGCAAGCCAGGAATGGTAAATATGCTAGTACAACAGAAGCAATGTGCCACTGCGTGACGTTAGGAGATTCTGACATTTCAAAAGGTGTTTCTACATAGAGAAGAAGAAAGAAGAATCAATTCCTCACAGGGCACAAGTAAGTAAGGGAGGATGGATACGATGTTAAAAAAAAAAAAAAAAAAAAAAAAGAAGCAAAAAAAAAAAAAAAAAAATCAGAGCCAAAATAACTGAACAGTGCGAACAAAGAAAAACAGTCCATTCTCATGCTATCACCAAAGTAATTTAAGAATCTGTTGGGTGCCTTCAATTTGCTGTGCCCTCCAGATAAGTTTTTTACAGGTCAAATCATTTTACAAGGAACTCCAAGGGACTATATTGAGTATTACTTGATATAAGTGAATTAAATTGAGGCTTAGAAAACTGTGTTTCCACAGAATATTCCAGTCTTCAATAGAATGACCTATTCGTGATTTTTAAAAAAATACTGCAGCAAATAAAAAATGACATGGCTTATCAATGGTTCTGAATATAACCAATAAAATCATTGCCACTCCACGTAGCCACATGACCATGCTGCTGATGATGGCCAAAGCATGATGTCACCAGGCGCTGGATGTCGGGTCTCAACACTGCACATGCATTAGTTCAACCTTGATCCCAGCCCTTGGAGACAGGCACTGCTACTGTCCCTGTGCCACAGACAAAGACACTGAGGCACAGAGGATGCAACAATTTGCTTGAAGTTACCCTGAGACCCAGGAGCAAGCAAAGCTGCCCACCACGCCATCCCCCCGACGTGTATGTCATCAAATCTCTCTCATCCTGCAGTCAAGGATCTATGAAATCAGGGTTGGGCTAGAACTGTATAAGCCATTCCAGTTCAAATAGTCCAAATTCTCCAAGCAGTATAAAGAAAAAACTCTCCACTGGCAAGATGTTCTCCTGGAGTATATAAGTAGATGAGACTCTGCTACATGATTACAGAAAATTTACATTTATTATTCTCTATGTGCCAGGGTCAATGCTTCACACAAATTCAAGTAACAAGGCAAGAATATTTGCTCAATTTCACAAATAGTAATTGAAAAAATATCATTTTTTTAATGGCTACAATGAGTTCCATCTGTGGATGATTTTGTAGGATTTCTTTAACCAATTAAAAATAATTCTTAGCCTATTCATTTTGAATGAATTCAGGCTTATAATTTCAGACTTACAAAAAATTTGCATGGACTAGGTGCAGTGGCTCACACCTGTAACCCTAGCACTTTCAGAGGCCAAGGCGGATCACTTATGGCCAGGAGTTCGAGACCAGCCTGGCCAACATAGTAGGCTGAGGCAGAAGAATCACTTGAATCTGGGTGCTAGAGGTTGCAGTGAGCTGAGATTGTGACAGAGTGAAACTCCTTCTCAACAACAACAAAAAGTTTGCATAAAAAGTATAAGGAGTTTTCATATACCCTTCTCTCAGCTTCTCCTTATGTGTTATCAATTACCAAAACCATAGTATAATTATCAAAACTGGGAAGTTAACACTAATTCAATACTATTGATTAATCTACTGACCTTATTCAAATTTCATCAATTGACCTGTTAATGTCCTATTTCCAAACTAGGATCCAATCCAGGACTACATGTTGTATTTTGTTGTCATGTCCCCTTTAATCTGGGTAGTTCTTTAGTATTTGTCTTTTATAACCTTAACACTTTCTGAAAACATCGGCCAGTTATTTTGCAGAATGTCCCTTGATTCGGGTTTATCTGGCATTTCCTCAAGATAAAATTCAGGTTATGCATTTTTGGCAAGAAGGGATGTGTCCTCCATAGTACATTGCATTAGGAGGCACATGAGGTCAGAATTTCTCATTACTGGTGATGCACTTGATCATTTAGTTAAGGTGGTGACTGCTAGGTTTCCTGAATGGAAAGTTACCGCTTTTCCCTTTGTAATTAAAAAGCATCTTGTGTAGGGATACTTTCAGACTATGTAAATAACCACTTCTCTCCCCCTACCCCCAACACACCATCGTCCACTCATTTTAGTATCTATGATAATCCATGCCTGAAACAGTTGACCGTGGCATTTGCCAAATGGTGACTTCCTACTTCTGTCACTTCTACATTTACTAGAATTCTACCATCAACAATTCTACCTTCTCCCTCATTTATTGTTATCACTTGGGACTCATAGATATTTTATTTTAGTTTATGGACTGCAATACAACACAATTATTATTGAGTCACTCAAATATCAGGTAGGCTAGATATACCATTAATTCTGCATATCCAAACTGGGAAAAACAGTAATCGATTAACTTTTGTCTGTTTTTTGCACTCCCCTCACTTTCTATTTCCGCTCTTACCACTTCCCTTCAGCTGAGAATAATGAGGGCTATATTTGTGGGATCCTGGGCTGGTGTTTGAAATGAAGCCTCTGCCCAGGGTCACGGCAGTTAACTGGCCTCCTAGGGAACACAACCCAGGCACTAACTTAACATGTTTCACAACTAAAGATAAATTCTGGATAATCTCAAAAATGAAGCAGCCCAACTTGCCATAATATTAGTATTTCAGCTAAATGGGTGCTTATTTTCATATTTACTGTTCATGAGAAACCACTGTTTTAAATATGAAGTTCAGCCTTCTTGGTCAAAAGTAAACACCACATTGGAACTTAGGATAGGTTAAAATGTAATGCTTTATATACAACACAGACTCGAGCATAAATGGATAGCCGAAAAATCAAATCACCTTCAGACTTTGAGTGATCACTCCGTAAAAGGTCCCATGTTAGGTACTGTGGAAAACATAGACGCTAGTCCCTATTACAGCACAGGAGCCAGTAATTAACCTTCACTGTGTCTTCACACAGAATAAGGAGTTTGGTCTCTGTGGCCAAAGAGAACGGAGGTAGAAATCTAGTTTCACCATTCCTTGTTGCATGGCCTTGGTTATTTAACTTTCCTAAGCCTCTGTATTTCTTTGTAAAATCTGGATCACTGTAACACCTATAACGCGGTGGGGGAGAGAGCAGTTAAAGATTTAAGAAGGTAACACATGCAAAGTATCATGCCTGACACGGGGAGCGTTTTACAAAGCATTTTACTATTAAACTTACTATGACAACTGTGAAGAGTATTTATTCTTCTCTAGGCATAGTCTCTAGATACAACACATTTATGTAATAAATAAATTAAAAGGAGGTGAAAAAATACTAAGTGAAAACAGATTCTTTTAGTCCTTGTATTTCTGTTATGGTTCAGTTTGACGGCTGCTTATGCACTAAGAGCAATGACAGAAAAATACATTTTATACACACCTGTATTTTTGACTTCATTGCTTGAAGGGACTGGACCACAGGGATGCAATAGGCAAGAGTTTTACCTTTCAAAACAAAAAGCAAAAGCAGTTAAAAATCACACACCCTACAGATGTAAGAAAAGCAAAGAATGCAAAGAAAACAGGCTCTGCTATCTTCCAGTAGCACTGAATTCAGGGGAAAGGGAAGCTGCTCATTATACGTCCAAGAGAGGTGAAAAGAACTTCCTCCCCGTCTGCCACAAATCCCAGTTTTGCTTTGTAAAATCAGTACTTCTAAAAACTAGACGCCTCAGTTCCTTTATTCATCTAACGAGAGAGAATGGTATGTCTCCCAAATTACACAGAAGCTCAACTTGATGGCTGTCTGTATGAGCCAGAAAATGCCTCCTCTGAAGTCCTCCCTACGCTCTCAGATGAGCTTCAGTGGTCAATTACATCTCCTCTGCAGTGCTGACGTGATTGGGAGCCAGTCTGTACTCTAGAGCTAATCTCTAATGACGGAAAAACCAACAGATGGCAAAAACTTTAGGTCTCCAGCCTTCTGAATGGTGGCCGAGCTGGTGGGAGTAAAGGATAGCTGACCAGCCGAGGGCACACAAGGGTCAAAACAGCCAAGTCCAGACTGGCCTGGAACACGCAGGAACAGCGTTCTGTCCTCGAGCACAACTGGCAGCTGATCAGCGTATGCTCAGGCCAGAAATCCCTCTGTGTCTAATACCAGCAGAAAATATTCATTCTCCACTAGAGTGAGAATGGGCAGCTCTGGCCACAGAGTGTAGGACCTGGTAAAGCCCCAAAATAGGCACTGAGGAAATTATAGCCGAACTTGACTACTTCCCAATCATTCCTCACTGTGGCACCATCAACTGCCCCTCCCTTTCATTATGTGAACATAGTCAGGGCTCTAATCAAAAGCAAGCATGGCCTCCCTCCCCCTAACGAAAAATTGCCGCCACCACCAACCCAGACACCTACTGCAGGACCACAGGCCTGAGCAGAGGAAAAAGGGCGGAGATGAACTGAGACTAACCTGAGCCCGTCTGGGATCTCACGAGAGCATCTCTGCCTTCCAGCAACACAGGAATACTTTGCTTCTGAACACTGGGCCACCCGAAAAAAAGAACACACCTTATCCATATTATCCAGTTACAGACAGAAATGCAGGATATATAAAAGGCAAGTGCCCACACTAGGATTCATCTAGACGGCCACCTTAGAAGTTATTGAAGCATTCAAAAAAAGGTATGACGAAACTGTTGATGATCAGAAAGCTCAAACCCTAGTTACATTTCTGGAACTTAGCCTGAAAATGGTGAAGCAAACCAGAGGCTGGTCATTCTATTAAACTAATTCTTTTCAAAATGGAACACATGGCCAGGCGGGGTGGCTCACACCTATAATCCCTGAATTTTGGGAGGCCAAGGTGGATAGATCACTTCAGGTCAGGAGTTTGAGACCAGCCTGGCCAATACGAAGAAACCCTGTCTGTACTAAAAATATTAAAAAATAGCTAGGCGTGGTGGCACACACCTATAATCCCAACTACACGGGAGGCTGAGGCAGGAGAACTGCTTGAACCTGGGAGGCAGAGGTTGCAGTGAGCCGAGATCATGCCATTGCACTCCAGCCTGGGCAACAAGAGCAAAACTCCGTCTCAAAAAAAAAAAAAAAAGAAAAAGAAAAAGGAACAGGCATGATGACAGACAAACCAGAGTTACCACAAAGTGTATCACACACTCTCTTGCCATCACTAACAGAAATATGAAACACAATGGAAAGGTTTCCACGCAGGATAGCAGCAGGAAGCTCGCCAGCTATTCAGAGAGCCAGCAGCTCTCTGGATTCTCCAGGAAAAGGTTACGGACATGCTGAGATGTGTGTCTACACATGTATTTTAAACCAAGAACCAAAATAGACACAAAAATCACTTAAATTTGGTTGATCAAACAAACAAAAAATTCATGGGGAGGTTCCTTAAGTCTTCAATATATTTTTATTGTTTTACTAATCAAAGTAAAAGATCATTATTAAAATGCACAGAATCTGTCTCAAAAAAAAAATTGCACAGAAGCACAAATACTCAAAACAAGGAAGCTCACCTCCCCCCACACCTTTTACTTTATTTTCCAGGAGTCATTTCCTATAGCAAACACTGAAAACATTTTTTCAGTATCCCATTCTATCCAACGGAACGTTTACTCTTGGCCTTTTGGTTGACCCTAATTCTTACTTCTAAGAAATGACATGGTCGCATTCTATATTTTGGCCAAATTATTTTCAGGGAAGCACAGAAAACAGTGGAGCTCATGCAGCCCACCTTCTGGATAAGACATCTCTTGCAGTTTAGAGCCAAGGGCAGAACTGGATGGAAAGCCAGTCTTTCCATTTAACAGGTGGAGAGAATGAGTAGCTAAGTGAGATGACAATCCTTTATGGTCAATAACCTGGCGCTTGCTGTTTTCTAACACCAAGACACAAATTTGGGCTGCCTTGCACAGACATGTTTCATCTGGTTTTACCCGCTTAAAGCCTAAGAAATCAAGTTAGCATGAAGTTCTTACCTGGTCATACTAGACATTTTTAAGACCGTATTTATTGTGGAAATCTAAAAAAGAAGATGAAAAAACTTTAATATTTTGATACAAAATATTTACTGGAAATTACACAGAAAAGGAGAAACTGTTGAGATGACATTGGCTACTATGATCAAATTAAGTTCCTCCACCCAGGTGGTGCTCTCTACTTGTGGTGATTCTGCCACCCGCCCTAACTCCCTGGGGACACGGGCAATGTCTGGAAAAATTCTGCTTGCCATAAGCGGGGGAGGGGGGCACTACTGGCATCTAGTGGGTAGAGGCCAGGGATACTGCTAAATATCCTACAACGCACAGGACAGTCCCCAAAACTAAGAGTGACCTAGTCTGGAATGTCCACAGCACCAAGTCTGAGAAACCCTGTTCTACCCTGCAGGTGAGAAACAAGCTTAGGTAACCCACCCGTGAAGGGGTAGGCTGTAAACAAACGAGCAGAGGAAACCAAGCCTACCTAAAAGTTGATATACATATGTATATATACAGATTTCTTTACTCATGAGTCTGAAGAACTCACTTTTTTCCTTTAAAGTGTCTGTGTTTGTAGAACACACGCTAAAGTACTCTTCTTCCCCCACGTCCCTAAAACTGTAGATGTCCCTTAACAGCAAGATGCCAGCACAGTTCCCTCTCCTATGGTCCCTGTGAAATCTGCCACCACAAATGGCTTCACCACAGCTATCCAGTAAACAGGAAGCTGTTTAAAGTTTAGCAAGTGAGGTCCTGATCCTAAACTGTATTAGCCGAGGAAAGTCTTCAGTACTAAAAAAAAAAAAAAAAAAACCGGAGGTGGGGCCAGTGGGGGCCAGAAAGCAGTCAACGGTAAACTAAGCACCCCTGAACTGCCCTAAAAGCGTTATCATATCAATCTGAGTTCATTCAGGTAACTCGGAGCAGAAACAAACTGCCTCCGATTTCTCTTCCTAGAACTGCCATTTCACAGACCTTCTGAACGGACAAACACACCAAAAAAACTGACCCACAAAACACTGAAAGGCACACTTACTAAATGTGGGTGGAGGCCCAGTTCATGAAAAGCAGCTGAAGTAAACACTTTTTCTTGCACCTGCTTTACTACAGATCTGCAAATGATGAACAAAAACCCAGGCATCAGTTCCAACAGGAACAAAGAACAGGGAGAACAGAGTCTTTTTTTTTTTGAGGGGCATCTGCCCCTGGACATACCTGTGGAGTTCTGGAATGTCAGGGTTGTTTTTAAACAGTGATGAAGTCTTAACGCACGGTCTCTCCTCTTGGTTTCCATCACTCGTGCTAACCGAATGCTTCTTTGCAGAAAATGCTTTCTGTGTGTTCCCCTTAAAAGTCCTTTGAGTTTCTTTAACACTAGTTTTCTTGGCTGGGAGAAATGAAGTTTCATTCCTCCGTTTCACTGGGGGAGCCTCACTGGACGCTTGGTATTTTCTTTTTGTAGCCTTTGCTTGCTGCGTTGTTCCCAGAAGGAAAGATCAACAAGAGATGCATTAGTCCATGAAGACAGAGCTCGGAGTGAAGCCTGACTGCCCACAGAATTGCATCTCTCCCTGCAGAGATCATTATGCCCCATATGTCAAGCAACAGTTTAGGGTTTGCAACCAGACTCTTGGACTCAGCTTTTTCCAAAAAGT